TTAGAAGGCTAGGGCCAAAAAGTTGGCTTTCCTTGTAGCCCTCCTTTTTCTCTAATTTTGGTCTGCAAACTTAGGTTGTTACCCATCCAGAAGAACCATGAAGAGTTTTTAACAAAAGGTTCTGGGATAAGATATCTACAGGCAAAGAAATAAAGAAGCATCCCATCACAAACAAAAATATCCTATCACAAACAAAAATCAAAGTGGATCACAGATGTAAGAGCTAACATAGAACTCTTAAAACACAAAATAAATCTTTATGATCATAAGACAATGATTTCTTAGATAAAATACCAAACACAAGTGAAAAGAGAAAACTGATATGCTAAACTTTGTGAAATTTTTAAAATATTTGTACAGAGGACACACCGAAAAAGGGAAGCAAGCCATGACTAGAACACATGTGCACCTCACATACAGAGGTAGCTCGGCTCTGAAATTGAATCCTACACATGCATGCACACTCTGTTTGCAGGCTGCAACCAGAATCATGGACAAATTCTGCAACCAGAGTGGGAAGAATTAAGTTCATATAACAGGGGAGTACCGCTCTTATCTGACAAGCTTTTATCCAAAAAGATAAAGAACTCCTACGATTTAATGATAAAGGGACAGATGCCCAATTTTTAAAATAGGTTAGGTGGGCATGGTGACATGTACCAGGAGTCCCAGATATTTGGGTGACTGAGAAGAGAGTTTGAGTCCACAGGGCAGCCTAGGTCACCACAGCAACACTTTAATTCTAAAAAGGAAAAAAAAGGCCAAGGACAGGCATTCCTCCCAGGCACAGTGCCCACAAGGACATGAAATCATGTTCATTACCACTAGACATTAAACGCAACAGAAGCCACAGTGACATACCACTTTTTGTATGACCAGATGGCTAAAATTAAAAACGGAGATAGAAAGAGTCGATGAGGGTGTGGAGAAACTGGAACACTCACACACGCTGCTGAGAAGGAACACTGAGCAGCCGCCTGGGAAAGCAATGTGCCAGCCACTCAGGGAAGTGGTACCACCCACTTACCCCAGCGAAGTCACTCTCACCTCTCCTCAAGAAAAACGGGTCTTTACACAAAAACTCATACAGTGTGCCTGAGCTCATGAATTTAATTTTGGAAAAGACGGCCATATGTGTGTTCGTGTGGGAAAAATGGCCATGTCTTATCTGTTGTCCAATGCAGTTTGCAAACAAAAACAAAACTCTGTCAAATGCTTCTGTTTGTGAACCAAATTATCTGCAAACAAAAGCACCATGCGCTGAGTTATCACTGTACATCATGTTCATAACATCATTCATTTTAGTTAAAAAGCAGAAACAGTCTCTATCAACTGGACAGATAAATAAAATGCGTCATATAGTCAAAAATGGAGTACTATTCAGTAACAAAATGAAGTACTAATACACAGTGAAACATGAGTGAATTTCAAAAACATAATGCTAAATGAAACATATAGGCCAGGAATATAGCTCAGTGCCACAGCATCTGCCTGGCAAGCACAAGTTCCCGAGTTTGATTCCCAGTACCACCCATGAATGAATGAATGAATGAATGAATGAACTATATCATCGTATTAACCCCCCACTATGTGAAACTAGCAAAGAGGGAAAGGTAGGGGAGGAGAAGCACAAGGGGTTAATGATCAAAGTATATGTATAACCAATAAAAAAAAGATAAAAAATCCATAATGCTAAGTAAATGAAACATGACACAAAATGCCACATATATTCTATGATCTCTTTTCTATGAAATACCCAGAATAGCTATTTCATTAAATTAACAACAACAACAACAAATCATTATTTGCTAGGATTTGGGGAACATGGGGAAGGAAGCAGAGTGATTGCTAATGTATGAGGAGATGAGGAAAACGTACCCATCCTTGGACACACTACATACACTATCACTGAGTTGTACACGCAAAACAAGTGCCTTTTAGAGTATTCAAACTATGGATGAATGAAGCTGTTTTAAAAGCCAAAATAGACATTGGTCCATGAGAAGATACATGATTCTTACCCCAGCAGTTGTCAGGGAGGTGGTGAACTCTTTAGATAGAGAGGACAACTCTTTACACAACACAACCGTCACCCTAGAAAAGAGGGACAAAAATCAGAAGGATTTCTCTTTCCTTTGTCTTTTTTAAAAATAAACCATACTAAAATACTGTTACTTCTGGTAATAAACATAAAAGAAGAAAGCTTTCAAATATATGGGTACATCCAAATCATCAAGCTAATGTACATAAGGATCCATCTGGGCAGGCATTCATGGCACAGGAGGGAGTTCACGCATCAGGAAAACATTTTTTCTAAATAATTTTAAGGCCAAAATAAAGGTGAGATGGTGGGAAATAAAGAGGCAGACCCTGGACATGGGGCAGGGAGCCTGAGGAATGGGGCATGGGGTGGGGAAATCAAAAACGACCAAGATACTTTATCAGCTCCCCACAAACAAATGGAATCAATATGCATTATAAACATACAGTTTGAGACCAGCCCGGGCTACAACTTGAGTTCAAGGCCAGCCTGAACTGCAGAGTAATAGCCTGTCCCAAGACAAAAGAACAACCAAACACACTAATAAAAGGAAAACATTTTTCTACAAAATCCTCTAGAAAGTATTATCTTTTTAAGTTAAATCAAAAGATTTAATTAAAATGTACTTTAGAAACACAGCACCTAAAAAAACAACATTCCATTGGAAATATAGTTACAATAAATATGTATTCATTTGTCCATTTAGTCAGCAAACACAGGGAAATCCTCCATGCCAGGCACTACGCTGAGCACTTGGAGCACGCAAGCGAAGTCCCCTTCTGCTTAAATTCTTACTTCAATCCTACAGGGGCACTGCACACAGGTACTATATACACACACATCCTGCACAGGACTCACCAGCACATACACACACACACACACACACACACACACACATCTACATACAAATGTGTGTGGGAATGTGCTAGGTAGGGATATGAGCTTAGAAGATGAAGAAGAAAGCATTCACGGACGGCAAGGGGTGCTACTTAAGAGCACTAGATGAAGGAAGGTGCATTTGAGCAAAGACCTGAACTCAGGAAGAGGAGGAGACATTCCAAGCAGGGGCCACGGCTTCTTGCCCACAGGGCAGGCTGCTGGGGTGTGCCCCTCATCCTGAAGGGTGTTCAACACAACACCCTGTACCCACAATTCCTGCCCAGTGCCAGCCAACAGGGTGCTGAAGGACATCGATGTTCCCTCCCAACTTAACACCAAACGCTTTTTCCCAAGGAAAATTCTCTCTGAAATCAGGTCTACTTAGAAACTACTGGAGGCCAGCCATAGCTATTGCTTAGTGGATTAAAGCACCTGCAAGCAGGTGCAGGGGTTGGGAGTTTGATCCCTGGGCCTGCTGTGCCAGGGCATACTGAGATGGCAATTGAGACTGGGCGTGGTGGCATGCATCTATAATCTCAGCACTTGGGAGACTATAAACAGGACAATCACTAAGAGTCTGATCTAGTAATGAGACCCTGAATACCCTGTACACCCTTCCCTAAAATACAGAAAGAAAGAAAGAAAGAAAAGAAAAAGAAACAACTGGGTTTCTCCTCTCTTACGGTTATTTATATTCTATTGTTTAATATTTTTGCTCAAAATCAGTAATACTGCCAGAAAAAAGAATGTGTGTGTGACTTATACCTGTCTCTAAGTCCTGGGCAGACCACTTTTCTGTTTCTTACTTTTTAAATACGGACTAATCACAGTGGGAGTTTGTAAATTTAGAAATAACATATAAAAATTATTTAGCATGATCCCTGGCAAATAATTACCATTCAGTACACTGGTAATTATTATTATGAAAGGAGATTCTTGGGACTATTTTCTGTGTTTATTTAGGCAAATTCCATCCCTATTAAGACTCACAATCTGGTCAGGCACCTGGGAAGCTGAGGCAGGAAGACTGCTGCAAGTTTGAGGCCACCCTGGGCTATGAAGCAAGTTCCAGGTCAACTTGAACTGCACAGTGAACCCTGTCTCAAAAGACCAAAAAAAAAAAAAAAAAAAAAAAGAAAAGAAAAGGAAAGAAAGAAAAAAGAAAAAAAAATCCCCAAACAACTAACAGTCTGTTAAGAAATGGTTTTCAGACATAAGTCAGTTCATTAAAAAGGGCACATTTACAATGCAGACTTACAATGCATAGCAGGAGGAGAAAACACCACCAATGAACAAGCCTTTGTGCAAATGGCTAAGGGGCAAACAGTGTCTTGTTGAAGAGACAGCATGACACTTACTGGGAAAGAGTCTGGCTCCTCTGCAGGGCTGTCACGTCCTGCTTCTGGCCATGGAGAACCAATGCTGCTGTTTTGTGAAATAGTTCAATTGAGCAAGCAGTCAATTCTGCCAGGCTCCGGATTGCAAATGCATGGATAGCCTGGATGGGAAAACCGAACACAATGTGAGGAAATGACATTAGGGTCTTTTCATCGACGTGGAAATGACGCCACCTTGCTCCTCTCGTACTGAAAAATTCAGCATTGTGACTAACACAGAAAGGCCAATAAACACGCTCTTCATCCACAGCAGTAACGCAACTTCACAGGCAAGCTCATTGCCACACAAACAGTGGTTCCTCTACGCCCCCAAGTGTGACTGGAGCCAAAAGCTTTCAATGAAAAGTACCCAGAGGCAGCCTTGGGGAGCCTTCCTCGTGACACAACTTGATGCATGCATTTTCTTTTCTTCATTCCTCTTTTACAGTTTGGAATTAAGATGCTACGATTTTGGTCACAAGGTTCAAATTTCCAGTAGCAATGAAACAAAATAAAAGGCCACTGAGTCCTCTACTGCAATGTCCTCATCTCAGAATTGTGAGGGAGAGAGTAGAGGGGGGAGGGGGGAAGATGGGGAGAGAGGGAGAGGGAAAGGGGGAGAGGCTGAAGGAGAGAAGGAGAAATAGGACACAGAGGAAACGGAGGGGGGTCAACTGCTTTGCTTACCTCTACTGAATTTTTAGAGACTTTCTCAGTATTTTCTCCCTCCAACTCTTTTTCTCCTTCTTTTTTCTCTGCTAACGCCATTGCTTTGATCCATTCATAAGCAGTATTTCTTGCCTAAATGTAGAAAGATTATTGTCCACCGAGACAGCATCCAGCTCACCAAGATTACCGCGGAGCACGCATCTTGGCAGATAGCGCTCCTCTTCTCACTGCAGCAGACCAGCTGAGGCTTCAGTCCTCACCTTACTAGGGAAGAGCTCTGGACGGCACTGAGCACTGCTATCCATGCTTTTTGAACAATTCTAGTCATCTGGCTTTTTAAAAAATTTGAGGTATATTGGGGCCGGCGAGATGCCTCAGCAGACCAAAGCACCTGTTTAGGCAAGCTTAGGCAAGCACAGGGTCCACGGTTCAATCCCTGGCACCACATGCTGTGCCAGCCCTGCCCCCAGGGTGAGCTGAGCTGGCCACAAATACATACATACATACATACATACACACATACATACATACACACATACATACATACATAATCTGCAGTACAGCTTCCATGTGGTACAAATCCAACAGGCTTGCATGTGTGTGTGCCTATGAAACTGCAAACCAGACCAAAACACAGAACAGCCCAGTACCCCAGAAAGTCCCCTCACAGGTTCCTTCTTAGTCCTGCTCAAATCATGTCCTTCTCCACCTCCTCCTCCTATCCAAAGAACACCCTCTGTGTACTGCATAATCAATCTTTCCTGTTCTTCAATGTGGAAAAAAATGGAATCATTTTTTTCTTTTTTTTTTTTCGCAGTACCTGGGATTGAACTCAGGACCTTGCACTTGCCAGGCAAACATTCATTCTACTGAACTGTCTCCCTGGCCTTCATCATTTCGTTTGTGTCTGCCTGCTTATGTCAGCTCTGTTTATCCACATGGCTGCCCACACCAGTTGTTCACTCTTACTCATGTAGCACAGTATGCTCCACATATACCACAACTGATCTATTTTCTTGATAATGACCTTTAGGATTATTTGTGGGTTTTTTGGCTTTATATGAATGTTACCTTTTGGGTTTCCACTTAACTTTAGAATTATTTCTCTTTTTTATGAAAAAATAAAATTTTATAACAAATAATAAAGAAAAATAATAGCTAACACATTGTATATCATGATCTTCAAAGTAGTTGCTCAGAGTACAAATCTCTCATACATGTTAACAACCATCCTTGGCCAGTCTTTAATCCAGTGTAATAGGAGGCCCCACTCTATTCTCTTCCCCTCTCCTTCAGCACCTCCACCCATCCCATTGTGGTGCCTTGCCCTGCCCTGCTGCTGACTCCTGATCCATATTTCCAACCCTTACTTCTCCTGAAGCAATGAATCCCAAATGCTTGCTCCACCTATGAACCACACATCCTGCAGCTTCTCACATTCAAAATGTACAGTTTGAATTGTCCCCACTTTCTACCCCTTGATTTTTCACTCTTACTACCTAAAGCTTTATGGTCTACCATGTATCAGTGACATAAACCAGAATATAACAAACAATTTACGTGTTTTTCCTTGTTCAACCAATTATCAAGATGGCCTGATTTTATATAAATATTTCTTCAATCCTCACCCTGATCCCATCCCACCCACCAAACTACTTCTTTCCTTTCCACTACCATCATTAGAGTACAGAGTGAATCTGAGTTGTTCTCTCTGCATCTCATCTAGCTCATCTTAAATTTATCTTTTTCCAGTTACAGTGCTACCAATGATCTGCCCAAAGCCCAGGGTTACCCATTCCTCTTCTGGCTGACAATTCGTCAACAGATCATGCCACTTCACATGATCTAACAAGTCCCCATGACCTATATATGCCCTTGCTAGTTCTTCAAGCTCATCTCTTGTACTTTCTCCTTCATGGTCTGATAATAATTACCCATTTCTCTGTGCCTATGCTTTCTGCCTTCCTCCTATACTGTTATTTGGCTTTGCAGCCAGTGCCTGGCATGCTATGAAAGACCATCTACTGTTTTTCACCTAGACTATATCCCTCTCTCTTCTCCTTAGCAAGTTCTAGATTCTTATCAGTTAAGTTTTAGATAGAAGTACTTACATTTCAAAGCTCCCACAGCTGTCTAGTGGTTCAGATTTAGCTGTTAAGAATATTAACCTGTCCCAACACAGATAGTTCATGGATAAAAATGTGACCAACTCAGGTCAATGGACCCCCACAACACTGGGTAAAATTACTGGAAAAGGAAAGTCCTCTGGAGTTGCTCAACTGGGAGAGAAAAAAAAAAAATCAACCTGAAGTTGCCAATGGTCATCTTACCCTCATGTGGGAAATTATCCTTAAGGAGGAAGCCAAAACAAAAAAATAGAGCCAAGGGACAGACAGGGACAAGTTCCTGAGTACAGGGTTGTGCCAAAAGCCAGGCCTGCCCCTTGATTTTCTAGTTTCGTTGGCTATGGAATTCTCCTCTTTTCCTATGCCAGTCTGCTCTCGGTTTTCGTCATTTGCAAATGAGTCCTGGTTTCTCAGGAAATGTTTATTGCCATTAATTAAAGGCATCCACTTGATTAACTTCATATAGATAGGATACAGCGTATTCAGAGCAGACTCCAGAAAAGGCCTTGAGAATTACAATAGCTCAGAACATCCTAGGTGTGAATATGACACTGGAGTTGTCTTTAAGGGTCCTCAGTAAGGATGCACTCAAGGCTAAAATATGAATAAGCTAAAGTACAACCAAAGTATCTAGGCATCACTTCATACAGGGCCCTTTCCCACCAGGCATCAGACAAAACCCTTTAGAAATGACCTGGTTCTAATCTAAACCTTCCCACTACTTGAGCATTAACTTCTCAAGTTCAAAAAGTCAAAGAAAATGTACTACATAAAGACTTGTAAACAAGGAGAGTCAAAGTGTGTTGAGCAAATGGTGAGATATCTAGCAAGACCAGGCCTGGCACAGATTATAGGCACTCATTCATTCATTCATTCATTCATTCATTCATGTATTATAGGTACAAACTAAACACTATGCTGCAATCTGGGCATTTAGAAATGACTGATACAAATGAGGAAGCTACTCTTCTTTATTCTTGTGAGCAATGCCCACTAATGCGCAAGGAAACAAAAGCACGCATGAGGAAAATAACATGGTGTAAGAGTACAGAGCTGGATCCATGGAGGGTGGCCCAAACTAAGGTGATCAGGAAGGTCTTCTAGGAATAGGAATAAAATTTGAGCTGATCTCTAAGAATAACATGGAACTGGGCACATAGACACAGAGGCAAACACAGCAGACCTATAGATAATTCAGCTTGCTATCATTCAGGAAAAGAAAAAGGCCATGATGAGAAGAATAAAGAGGATGGAGGAGCGTGAGAGAAGATAAGGTCAGAATGGTGAGTTACAGAGCAACACAGTGACAGATCCAGCAAGAATGATAGCAAGGAACTAAGAGTGCAAACAGATGGTAAAATTCTTTGCAATTTCTTCACAGAGACAAAATGAGCAATAGCTGGGTATTAATTTATCTGGAATTTAACAGAAATGGCAAGAAAGCCACATAAAAGAAAAATTAATATACTTACAGGAAATTTTTAGTAGGCCTAGTACATACCAAAAGTGACCTGTCTTGTATAATACGTTAAGTGAAGTCACTATGAACTGCTGTGCCAACTCAGATAATTCCTCATCCCTTTCTAAAATTATGGATATTTTGTGCCTGGCTCATTCAGTCTGGAACATCTCACCAATAGGGTGTAGAAATTCAGGAATTAAAATAATATCTTCTAGAGGGCTGGCCTGACAGCTCAGAGGACGAAAGAGCCTGCTTAGGCAGGTGCAGTGACCTGGCATGCAGTGCCAACCCCGCCCTGGGGCACACTGAGACAGCGACTGAGACTGGGCGTGGTGGCACGTGCCTATAATCCCAGTAGTTGGGAGGCTGAGGACAGGAGGGTCACTACGAGTCCGATCTGTACAGTAAGACCCTGTAGACCTTGTACTAAATACATTTTTTTAAAAAATACCTTCTAGCTTAGCTTCTTTAGCAACTAATTTTTCCCAGCTAAAACACAGTGAGGACTGAAGAAGGAATGAGATTTGCCCAAGGCTGCACCACATACATCAGAATTAGAGTCAGAACTGTACTGTGGGCTCCTACCTTAGTACTCTTTTCTCTGTATCATACATTTAATCAGGCCGAGATGTCTATCAGCTCTACATCCTACATCTCAATGCCCCAAAATTAAACACTGAAGGCTGCCTTCAGAGAATGGTTAGGACTCAACAGAATTAAGAGAGATAATACCCTTTTAAAAATATTTATTAATGTAATTTCCTAGAGCACAGACGCTATGTCTTTCTCACTGTCATTTCCCTAATATCTAGCAAATTATCTAGCATAATAAGGGTTCACTAAACATATGTTTACTGGATACCAGAATGTATCCCTAAGGCTACCTCCTAGGGGGCCACTAACAGCATGCATTTATTTACAATGAGCCAGCCACTTTGTAAGAATTTTGTTTATATTAAGGTATTTAATCCTCATGAAAACTCATTACTCCCACCTTAGATAAGCAAAAGCAAAGAGAGGTTAGCTATTTGTTCAAGGTCACAGTGAAAATGAGAGGTAGTAGAGTTGGATTTTACCAAGCAATTGTGTAGAGGTCCTGACTTTTAGAAATTCAAGATTTAGTTTGGGAGTAAGACACATACATTTAAAACAACTGATATATTTATAAAAACATGTATGTAAAAGTTTAAGGGCAAAAAAGAATGCTAAGGAAAGTATATAGCATATTAATTTTTGTGTGATAAGAAGAAGAGAGCATACATCTGCTTATATCTACAAAAGGAAATGCAGGAAGCACAAGCTAGACAAAACAGAAGATTAACATCCAAAAGAGGAGTGCAGAGAAGGAAACTGGGAGGGAATGACACGTCCCTGAGTATTTCTTCTACAATTCTGACTTTTGGAAGTATGGTCCTACACTATATATTCAAAAATTAAACTAACATGGGGGATAGTAAATAAACCATAAATTCTTTTTTGGTTGATTTTTAAAGTAGTGTGTACACAGAGCAATGTAACTATTTTAGATGTGTTTATGATTAAAGAAACATGCTAATTAGGAGGTATGATTCTTGCTGCAGAAGAAGGGAGAAAAAAATGTATAATAGGGAAATGCAAAGAAAAATCTCATAGAAATGGATTAGGGCTGGGGAGATAGCTCAGTGGCATAAACGCCTGCCTGGCAAGTGCAAGGTCCTGAGTTCAATTCCTAGTTACTTCCACCACCACCCCCCCCCCGCAAAGAAATAAAATTGGAGTTACCAGTCTGAACTGCTGATTTCTAAGATGTGTATATGTGTTCATGCAAGCATATTTATCTATCTACATATATACACACGTGTGTGAATACACACACACATATATATGTATGCATGTACATGAACGTATTTCCTTGTTTTACTAAGACTAGAAGCAAAAACACTCCAACAGCAATGAAGACACCTAGTCCCCTGCTCTTGACCTGTAATACTACAAAGAAACTATGTTTTGTTTTTTTTTTTCTTTTTTTGCAGAACTGGGGATTGAACTCAGGCTGTTGCACTTGCCAGGGAAGCGCTTATTACACTGAGCCATCTCTGAAACTATGTTTCTTAAAGGAATACTAAACCTAGGGCTGAGACACAGAGGGTACAAGATGAGTGAATAATATCTTGTTATGTTGGAATATAAGGAAGTCCCCCCAAATGATGGAGACACATCACAAAGAAGCAGCCTGAAGGATAATCTGAGTATCAAAATAATCAAGGACAGTGATACACTAACCACTAAGGTAAAAGAAGAGATCCACAAAAATCATACTAGCAATATACAAAAAGGGGAGAAAGCTCTTGACTACAGCAGAATGCTGACAGCCAACTGGTAAAGGGGGTGGGGGACTGCAGAGCTGGAAAAAACTCATTTTGTAGTCTTCATAGTAAAGACTGGCTAACAAGAATCATCAACAGAAGCTAAATTTAGGAGGGAAATTATGATGAGGACTGGGATTATTTGTTGGGTCTTAAACTCTCCACAGAAAGCTGCTAGTAACAAGGGAAAAGGAATCGTAACTCTAGAGAGAAAAACCACATAACACATCACTAATTTGGAGCCATCAAGTGCCTTTAGACATGCTATCCTAGATAGGCCAAGCCGTCATTTACAGCGCCAAGGGCTGAGGAATACACAACGTAACTTTATCACAGCAGAGGACTGGACAAACCTCTAAAATAAGCAATGTTCTAGTTTTAAAAGTGGTGGAGGGGTGGGGGGGGGTATCCTCAAAAACAGCAATGCTATAAAAGAAAGGCTGAGGAACTATTCTACATTTTTTAAAAAAACTAAATGTACATGATAACTAAATGCAATTTATGGTTTCCGTGTTAAGAGAGGAAAAAATGATATGAAAGACATATTAAGTCAAGTGAAAAAACTGGAAAATGGACACATTAAATAAGAATAGGGTATTAACCTTAAACTTACAGACCTATAGGGAGTTTATATAAAAGCCACATGCTTAGAAGACACTGAAATATTAGGAGTCAAGTAATATAATGTTCATAACTTACCCTCAAGTGACTGTATTTGTGCACATATACACAGGGAACACCATGCCAGCATAAGTGCTTAGGCAAATAAAGCAACAATGAATTTGCATAAAAAGTACATGAACATTGTTTGTACTATTTATACAACTTCCAAGGTTTGTTTATTTCTAGGAGATTACAGCATTTCCATGGGGCACAAGAGACTGCGAAGAAACACAAAGCAGGAATTCCATGCCCTGGGCTATGGGAGAGAAGTTACTATACTGACTACACAGTGGATACCAGATCTCTCTGGCCAGGAAGCATTATGCAGTGCTGCTCCTAATCTGAAATATCCCCAAGGTTGAGAGAAGTGGGTGGAGGCAGGAAGCAATCCACCCCCAGCGAACGCTAGGTAAGCACTGCTATGGAAACAGGCCCTCCTTTCCCACTCCGAGCTTTGGCAGAAATCTCTCCTGTTCCAGATATAATACACAGCTCAGCAGTCATCACCAAAGACCACGGCACGGGCCACTGCACTCTCATTTCCACATGCTGGCTGCTAGCTATTGAGTCACCAGGCTCTGCAAAATGGCAGCTTCTACCCGGCTCTGCATGGACAGAGACCACATCTTATCATCTCTGAATCACAGAGTCCTGAGATTCGTGAGGCCTCGTGAAACATGGTCAGCACCCTGTCAACTTCAAATGAACAATACTGTGGTTAAATTAAGCTTCTAGATAAGCAAAGCATCGCAAATGAAGTAAGTGAGAATGGAAGAGATCCAGGTCTGGAGGGGGACTGGGCAGTAGACACAGCTCAGCACACTAACATGTGAGAGCAGAAGGCAGGTGGACAGCAGAGAGTCCCTTTCTGGGTATACCAAGGATGGATCACTGATTCTGGTGACACGCCAGCCAGAAATTTCTATACTCTTATACTCGGTATCTACTAAATTCTTACAAATAATATAATGAAAATCACCAAGAGGTGTAACTTACCCTGGCAACTTTCTCTGGTTTGGAAGAGACGTGCAGCTGGGAAAACAGCTCTGTTATCTCTTTGGTAAAATCTTCATCCCCTAAAAAACCAAGTCCCAAGTAAACACTCCAGAAAGACTGCTGAGGATCATGAAGAAGGTGAGGATGCAAAAGATAGCAGCAGCAGCAATAATAAAAATGACAACTATGTGGCAGCAGCAACTGATTTGAGCTCAGTGGTTTAGTGCTTAGAGTCCGCTCTTGTGCATTACATCAGAATCCTTTCGATGGGCTTGTAAGAGAAGTATCACCCCATTTTAGAGACGAAGAATAAGGGCTTGAACAGATTAAGTGATTTCCCTAAGATCATAAGAAAACATGAGTTAAACCTCGGAGCTCCTGCTCCCAGTGCTCTCCGCATTCTATCCAAGATGAATGGAGAAAATGAATGGAGAAGTGATGAAGGTAGAGTACAAGTAGGTACAGTGCACATGGTTCCAAGGAAGTAGAATTTAAATTGGGATAAGAACGGTTTCATACAGAAAGAGAAAGTGTAAAGATGTATGGGTGCAAGAAAGCACAGTAAAAATCTGCTACGATAAGAATGTCTACTATAGTGGAGTGGAAGGGAGTAAGAAGGCTGAGTGGGATCCACAGAATAAGGGGCTGGTTAGGAGCTCACGCTTTATGGTCAGGGAGTGAGGAGCCGCAGAATAATTTTTAAGCAAAGAGAAATATGATCAAATTAATATCTACTAAATAGATCTTACTATGGAATTAGATTTATTCTAGAATAGAAAGGAGGGAAGGCCAAGGCAATACAAGGCCATGTTCCATGTAAGAGAGTATCCGGGATGCTAAGAGGACTGAAGGAAGCTGCTGGAGCCAAACTGGCAGGAGATGGAGGCAAATGAACACTTACACTTGAGAAACACACAAGCATGTTGTTGGGCCAAGGTCAAACCCCAACTAACACATTTAAATAGATGGCAGGAAATGCTTTCTTCCTCTCTACTGTGCCACCTTCTGTCCAAGGCCCGGCCCAGGGCTTCTCTGAGATGTGAATGCAGAATAGGACTCACATACACAGGAATCTTCTACTTCCTATTTCTAGTGTATGACTTGCAAGGGCAAATTATTACTACTGCATTCCTGGCATTTCCCTCTCAGATCCCCAGGGGAAAAGAAGTCTTAGCCCTCCTCCCCATTCACCCTAATTTTGTCCCTCTCTTAAGGCAAGGAATTAAAATGATTTCCCAGGCATAACTTGATTTGTGAGAAACTGATCTCACTGATACAACTCTGACCTTCATAACTCATCTAAACAACTCCTATTCTCACTAGGAAAAATGTAAAACCTGAGTTTTACATGGGTGTTTTGTTTTCCCAACTAAACTCTAAATTATTTAGGTTCAAAGAATATATCTAATTCCATAGTAAGATACATGTACCTCAGAGGGTTCACAAATCCACAGCTTATAAGAAAAAAAAAAAAAAAAGTGGGACTTTTATTTATAGATACTCATCTCATTCTATAAATATACTTCCATTATAGGACACATTGCCTGGCAAGCATAAGGCCCTAAGTTCAATGCCAGGTATCAAAAAAAAAAAAAAATCATTTCACCATTTTAGGGCATATTTTTAATGTAAAATATACATTATTACAGACACATATTTATTGTATAAACATTCAAACATACATTATGTCTAAGTACCCAATAAACTTCTCCTGGTACAAGCTGTGGTAAAAAAAAAAAAAATGTTTCGAGGCCACTGTCATGTATGCATCACAACACTGAGGTGGTTGTTGCATTAAATAAAAGTGTGAGGACACGAAAAAAGAACTTGTGATTTGGAAGGGTCTGGAATGAGGCCACAGTCTCCCTGGGCAGGAGAAGTCCTGTGGAAGAGATGATGCATTAAGACGGAGGCTCAAGTGCTAAGGATACTGATCTGACGGTGAAGGACGATGACTAACTTCACCAGAATCAGGTTCTATGGGTTTCTGCTCTCTGCTACTTCACTTTTATTTTCTTTTCACAAGTACACCAAAGTCAGGGTTACATTCTCTACACAAATCACTGAATAGGGCAGACAGGGATGGGGCAGGTCTGGGTGGGGTAGGGTAGCACACTGGAACTCCCTGTTGTGTTTTCAGAGTCCTCATCTCTAGCTGACAGGTAGGAGAAAAAAAATTCACAAGCACAAAACCTTCTGTTTAGAAAAGACCTTATGGTTCTCTGAAAGCTATTTAAAGACTAAGAGTTCTGGTTAGTACACAAAGCCATATGTTGACTACATTGATCACATACTGTTAATGGCGCCATATAAAGAAGCTAATAAGCAACTGGGAATTGTCATAACCAGGCTTTGGAGAAACTTAAGTAGATTAAAGTGAAGTGATAGGTTTTCTGCCAAGTGAGACTTCTAAAATGCTGATTTTTGGATCACTTACTTATATCTTCTTAGTAGTGAACATAATAAAATTTACTGGTGCTTATTATGTGTCACACATTAAATATAGTTTCTTCAGTCCTTTTAACAACCTGGGAAGAACCAAATCATTTTATATGAATGAGAAAACAGAAGCTCAGTATCAAGCAATTTCTCAAGGATACACAGCTTAATACGTGGCGAATCTTCAAACCTGTCTATAACTCCAAAGCCTATCTTTGGTTTTTTCAATCATGCCAAACTGCCACTTCAGGACAGCCTAAAAAAACATTTAAATTCCACACATACATTTTGAGACCAGGTCTGTTTCTTGACTAATGATCAACTTATAAGACTCAGCTAAACTGAATCAGCATAACACTGGGTATGGAAGGCGCACCTACAGGTTGTTGCCAATAATTTAAAACAAAACTGGAGGGGACTTGGTATGCTCGTAACTGTCCTGAAGAAGCTTGTTATGTCAGTTTTCCTGATATCAACTCAGCTATTCTCACTGGTGGAGGAGCTCGGCTCCTCACTGTTGCAGAGGATGGCTGAGTTCTCTTCTAGGGAGCCCTGGTCCTTAGGCCGAGTACTGCTACCTGGCTCCAGTGCAGATCTATCAACCTGGCGGCACAGATCTTTCATGCTGCTGACAAGCTTTCTAGCTTCCACCACTGACCTTTCAGCCTTCCCAGTGCAGATACTTGATACAGACTCACATAAGACCTAGTCATAAGCTCTAGGCCTCCAACTGGCCTTACAGAGGTGTTTGCCATGGACCTGGTCTTCAGCTGGACTCGTGTAGACATTGCCATAGAATCTAGGCACTCAGATTCTCTGGATCTCTAATGTATGGACAGATCTCTTGTACTCTTCTGCATTTGACTCTTCAGTTGAATATTATAAAATAACCCTATAAATTATGTGTCCTGTATTAAATCTATTTCCTTGAAAACCCTGACAACAAAATGTGGTGCCAGAAGTGGGGTCATTTCTGTGACAGCTGAACATGTGGTTCAGGAAGGAGCCTTGGAGAATGGCTTCTGCAAAGAATTTAGAATGATCTGGAGATGCCAGCTGAAAAAGTAGAGCTGGAATGCTTTAGGCTGTTCTGTATGGGAGATTTCTGGTGAGAGGTCAGAAGAAAAGGCTGACAGAAATCCTGCCAGTAAGGAGATCCTGCCAGACCAAGCTCAGATTTCTGATGGGAAGGACCACACTGGCTGCTGGACTCCAGATGATGTGCTTTGTGGCTTGCAACAAGTTTACTGCATTTTACCTATCTGTAGAGGCTGTAGAGGCTGTATGAGACTGAGATAAAGGGTAGCAGACTAATTAATCTTACAGAAATATTGTCAAGCCAGTCTACTGTTGAGGTGGTGGCACGGCTACTGTTGGGGGCTTTTAGCCAGATTTACATTGAGAATCAAGAGCAAAGAGCCCAGAAGAATGATTTAAAATGCTATGAGTTTGGCCAGAAAACAAGCTCCAGCAGGGCTGTGGACGGCAAAGGTAGAAGAGAGGAGATTTTGATTGCTGAGAAGGAACAGAATAGGAAAGGTGGTCTGAAGTCATCCCAAGAAGCAACAGTACTCCATACTTCATGGCCTCAAAACTGCAAAAGTGAAAGATTTCGCTTTGAGAAAAAAGCCACACAGCACAATGTTCCAGAATGGCAGCAGCACAGAGAATTCGTTCCTCTGAATTGGATTCAGAGTGCTCAGCCATCCAGGCACTTTAAACCCTACAGCCGAGAGAGGGAAGACTGGCTACTGCCCCAGGTGCCAGCAGACCTTGGCACCATCTACATGGTGCTGGTTTTAGGTGCAAACAGAATGGAAGAGTTGTGGGGCCAGTCAGGCTTCCACCCAGATTTCACAGGTCCTCGGAGGCCAGGCAGTACACCCGTGAGGGCAGTGTGTAAGCTGTGAGTGTAAAGCCAAAGGTGCAGTGCAGGTCCCAGGAATTTGGGGGAGCCAGCAATATGAATCATCTGATGAATACTGCAAGGAGGGAACAGAGCAGGCCCAAGAAGGAAGTCAAGGAAGCTACAACAACCAGAAGTGCCATAGGAGAGAGACACCTGAACCCTCTAAAGTTCTCCTCTTGCTATAGATTGCCTCAGACGCTGCACATGGAACTGTAAGACTTAATGTCTGCCTGCTGGATTTTGGACTTGCTGTGGTCCCATTCCTTTGTTTCCCTGCTTGTAACTTTCAGAACAGAAATGTCTATTTTGCGCCACTGAATGCTGGAAATGGTTAACTTTATTTTCATATGTACAGGGGAATATAGCTATGAATTTGCCTTAAATCCCAGAGGAGACTTGGGACTTAGATTTTTCAGCAATGTTGAAACTGTTAGGACTCTGATAACTATTGGGGACAGACTAAATGAATTTTGTGTAAAGGAAAATGCATGAGTCTTCAGAGGCACAAGGGAGAATGTTGTAGTTTGTGTCTAGACGATGTGCCCCTAAGGCCTCAGGCACATTTTAGGTTAGTTTTTTTGAGGTAGCTAAATACAGAATTTGACTGATTCAAGATTCAATGCTAGGATTAAGGGTGCTGGGAGTAAAGGTGGGTGATTACTGGATCAGCCCACTAAATGGACTGGAACTGCCCTAATCCCAGCAGTCTGGCTTGTTTCCCCCTTTTGTTTTTGTTGCATTTGCAGTCTTCCGCCATCATGAATAGCTACCCCTCTGCCCTGTGACACCCCACCTTGGAGGTATCCAATTATGGATTGAAACCTCTACAAACTAAATTAAATGAACCTGTCCTTTTGACACTATCGGTGTCAAGCATTTTGTCTCAGCAAAAAGTAAAGTAACTGAGACGGGGACTCACTATGTAGTTCAGGCAAGGTGGTGAACCTCCTGCCTCAGTCTCTCAAGGGGTAAGACGTACCACAACACTCAGCTTCAAAACCATTTTCTTGTTTTTTGTTTTTTGTTTTTTCAAAATAGTGTTTCATTATGTAGCTCAATCTAGCCTTGAACTTGGGGCAATCCTCCTGCATCAGCCTTCCAAGTGCTGCAATTACAGATACCACCATCCTGGCCAAAAACCATTTTTTTTTCCACATTTAGGACAGAGTCTACAGGGTCTCACTACGTAAATCAGACTCATAGTGATCCTCCTGTTTTCAGCCTCCCAAGTGCTGGGATTACAGGTGCGTGCCACCATGCCCAGTCTCAATCACGGTTCAGCATGTCCCACAGGCAGGGCCAGCATGGCAAGCCAGGGATCAAACCCCAGCCACTGCGCTCTGCCTAAGCAGGAGCTTTACTGTGCTATCAGGCCAGCCCAAAAACCATTTTATAATGAGCAGTACTTACACATAAAATAAGGGAGATGTTATGTAACCAGCTAGCTTGACTTCTGAGAGCACAAACGGAATAAAAAGTCCCTGTCAGGGTTTCAGGGTAAATCCAGAGGGCATTTGACTGGCCTCATCACATACAAAAGCTACATTTCTTGTTATACAGGTCTTGCTTTATCTTGGTCTTAACTATCCAGCAGAAAAGTATAAAAACAAAGTATAAAAAATAAAGCCATATTAATATGCTGAGCTGTAAAAGGCTCAAGTCAATAACTTCTGACACTGCCAGTCCTATGGAAAACCACTACTATTATGGACTAGTGGACTATATTGGAATATTTTGCTGAATTCACACTTCTACAATATTTAAATGACAATGGCATACCATACTCTGACAAAACTAAACAAAAAAGGGGATACAAATGAATTTTGTATCTGTATACTCAAAATAGGATAGATATGCAGCTACTTTCTCTTAATTCAATGAATAGAAAGATTTATTCTAATAGTGTTTGTGGACAGGATATGATGTCTGCATCTTGTACAATGTAATAACCAGTAAGACAACAATATGCAATGTATTAATTATTGAAACTGCTAGTAATTGGTTTTGAAATTGTCTCATTGCTAATTGTTTCTCAATGAAATTATTTAAAAAGATAAATATAAAAATAAATAAATGTTTTCTTGACCAAAACAAAGTGCCTGTCAGTGCAGAATCCAGACACAACTTTATGTCCTGAGCTCTTTTCTCATTCACACCACAGTAATTAGAAATAACTCAGATGAAATTCAGTGGGTATAAGAAGCAAGATCACGGATAATGAAAAGAAGCAAGACAAGACAAATAAATGTACAGAAGGAAATAAGGGTACCCAACTCTTAAAAGCAATCAGTCATTTTGTAATGTTTTGGGTAATTTAACCTACAAGTTCTCAAACATTTTGAGCTCAGAACCTCTCTATACTCTTAAATAACTTCTCAGAACCCCAAAGAACTTTTAAAGGTGAGTTTCACATATATGGACATTATATTAAAATTTAAAACTGCAATGTTGAAAGTATTTATTTATTGAAAATAATAAACCTATTGCTTGCTGTCATAGTTTGTGTGTGGGTGTCCCCCCAAAGCCACATGCAGTCATGGGGTGGCTTCTAGAGTGTGTGATTATTGGGGGTGTGGGTGCTGCACCTGCCCTGGCAGGTAATCTGCATTACAATGTAAGGACGGAAGAGGCCAGCCGGCTGCCAGAGCTACTGCCACTCCCTCTGCTCTCTGCTCTTTGCAGCCAGGAAAGGCTGCCCTCTGCCATGTGCCAGTCTGCCTTGGAGCCAGCCAAGTATGGACTGAAACCTCCAGCAACTGTGAGCCAAATAAACCTTTCCTTCCTTCATTTTCAGTATCAGATATTCATTCCAGCAATGAGAGAAGAGTAACTGGGACACTTATATTCTTTTTAATGAGAAAAATGTCATTGTTTCACATCTTTAAAAAATGTCTTTAATGTTTAGCTTAATGCAACATGGCTAGATTCACTTACAGTTTATCATATGTTGTTTTGCTTTAGTATGTGAACAAATCCTAACTTACAAAGATACATAGTTGGAAAGTAAATAAATTTCTACATTAATTTTGGTTGTGTGTGTGTGTGTGTGTGTGTGTGTGGTGCTAGGGATCAAACTGTGGACTTTGTACACAATAGACAAGTGCTCTACCAACAGCTACATCCCCAAAGAACTAATAAAGACTATCCCTAGATATTCTTTAATGCCACACCAAAATTCAGCAAGTGAACTGGCACAGAGAATAAGCTGCAGTGATCTGTACTGGAATGCACCAGAAGCCACATTATTAAATTTGGTGCTCAATTTTCATCAGTTAAAGTCCACCAGTCTCTTGTGACCAGTCATGATTTTATAACAACACACATTAGTCACCAGGAAAATGTTGGTTCTCTGAGTTATGCAGATCTTCCAAATGCTGACATATTTAATTGTAAAACAGCTAGAAATTATTGTATTTGTTACTATCAACACAGATTTCACCAGAAGAATCTGTAAACAGCATTGGGAAGCTGTGAAGCTCACCACAGCAATAAATATGTTTTACAAATTTCTAACTTTGACTTAGCTTGAATTTTTATGAGTCATAAACACAACCAGATGCTTTCCTTGAAGCAAAGGCTCATTTCACTCATTTTCAAGATAATGTTCACTAAATAGTCTATCCTCAATAGTCTGCCTGTGTAAACTTCTAAGTGAAAATGATGTTCCATGACAAAAATAAGTAATTCACCTCCAAACTCAAATGTTAGTGCTCTACTTGAGAAAACCACCGTAATACAATATGCGTCACATAATATATTCAATAGAGTATACTTCAGGGTCAAGATCTAATAAAATTAGTAATTTTTACTATTTCATCAAGTTGAATGAAAGCTGCACTTATGAAAAATAAAATTATTTTTACAAATAAATTATATCTTGGGATTATTACTCTTTTAAAGATTTTGGACTGAAGGATCTGCAGATCATATGTTGTAAACTACTGATTTAATCTACCACATAGTTTAATCTGCTGTATGTCCTAATGAACACCAGCAGAATTTGTTTATACAATGTTTAAAACTGATTATCAAAAAAAAGCAAAACTGTTCATTATATTCTATTTTTTAAGAAAGACAGTATAGGATACATCTTAGAAATATTTCTAACTAAAATATTACAAATAAAAAAACTCTTGTAGTTTAACATTCAGTTGCCCAGAAAGTACAACTCACATAAACTACTACATTTTCAGATTACCTGGCAAAAAATGAAAAGTTCCAAATGTACATTTTTTCTCAGGTGTAGATACTAAAATTCAGGATAAAAGAACTTCTAAAACTGGAGAGCTAAAGATCACCCACATTTGGGTGCAGGCTTCAACTTAACACAGGATCTGGGGTGGCAGGAGTCAGTGAGACATGGCTAGACTACCTAGAAACAAAAACATCCATGGAGCAACCAAAGTGAGAAGGTCTGATCAGAGCAGCTCCTCCTACAAAACCAGGCCGAGCTGCTCGCTGCAACGCTGGGACTGGAGAAGCTATAAGCTGGCAGTGACACGAGAAAGTGGGACAGGAAGCTGACTTGCCACTGCAATGCCTGGCGAGAAAACTATTGAGAGGATTTTTCTATAGATAAAATAAAGTCAGAATAGTGTAATGAGAGAGTAAATAATTTAATTCCATGGCAAAGTGCTACACAATGCACACTCCCCACTCAAGAGACCGAACTTTCGTATTACCTTTCTGCTCTTCTTCCTCTTCATCACAAAACTCTGCTAGGGAAAATGCTTCTTTGAGTTGCTCTAATTCAAGTTTTAGGGTTTCTAATTCTTCTCCACTCAGAGAATTAAGGACAGACTTCACCTGAATGGATATAGAATAATAAGAAATTGTGAAACTATGAAAGGAAAAAATTCTCAAATGTAGAAGAAAATACAGGTCAAACTAAAGTCAGAATTAAGGGCAAGCTAAATAGCTCAGCAGATTAAAGTGCCTGCAAGCAGGTATAGGGGCCGGGAGTTCGGTCCCCAGGCCTGTTGTCGTCTCCCCACCCTGGCACTGAGACAGTAACTGAGACTGGGCATGGTGGTGCATGCCTGTAATCTCAGCTCTTAGGAGGCTGTAAACAGGCAGATCACTATGAGTCTGATCTAGTAGTGAGACCCTGAACACCCTGTAGACCTTTCTCAAAAAATACAAAAATAAATAAATAAATATAAAGTCAGAATTATAAGTTCACCAGCCAATATAAGCTATTCCTCAGAAATCTTAAGATAGGAAGGAGGCTAATGATCACACAAATGTAGAAAAATTTGTACTTCCAAAAATAACACAGGCCACAGAAAACTGAATAATTTGCCAACTATTAGTACTTAACAACAGTTTAGAAATCAAGGTGTGGTGGGTGGCCTGTAATCTGCAGTGCTCAGGACACTGAGATAGGAGGATTTCTGTGCATTGAGGCCAGCTGGGCTACACAGTGAATTCAAGGTAAACCTGCACTACATAAGATGCTGTCTCAAAAAAAAAAAAAGAAACCAAGGAGAAATGAAACAGACTTGAATCAATTAAAAGCTAACAGTTAACTCTCTACAAAGAACAGCTTAAATCAACAGGTTTTCTTGGCAGCTAAAGCCAAAAATAGCAAAAAGACGCCATAAAGAAAAATAACAGATACGCTATTAAGAGCTCTTTGTTAATCTGCCCTTTTATGTGTCATTTTATAAAAATAACATTTGACTCATTGTGAGTCTTTGTAGCAATAATTTAAATATCAGTTTTTTGTTTGCTCTGGTAGAGTATTTCCAGAAAGCCTCAAGCCTCCACCAGAAATGCATTTCATCTTCCAAATGCACAAAGCGAAAATAAACTATGCAACACTTCTTTAGTTGAAGTTTTTCAGTTAAGAGTCTTCGAACTGGAGTTACCTTTATTTCACTTTCTTGGGAAAGCATCTCCAGAGCTTCTAGATGGGAAAGGCCTTGAAATTCATCAAAGAGCAGCCCATAATGAGTATTTTTGTCAGTTTCCATGGTAACCTCATTGGCGGTCCATAGCTCTTCTTTCTCCTTCGCCTCTCGTAAAACCTAAAAAGAGATGGACGTATTACACTGAAGCCAGTAATGAGAGCTCAAGGGTGAGTTTCAAGAATGGAAGGAATCAAAGCAGGGACAGGTGTCAACAGAGCGCTGCCCTTTCATTCTTGGCATTGCAATTCAAATGCAATAGGCTCAGGAGCTGCAGGAAAAAAAAGTAACACATAATCTGGAGCTCGACACTGTAAATAACACCCAGGAAACCAGGTGTTTCTCTCACAGTGGTTTAAACATTAATCTAATAAACAACTTTGACTTGATTTAGCATCTTGCACTGCACTGACAGGAGGCTACCGCAAAAAGAAGAGGGGGGAAAAAAACTGGCATTTTCCTAAGTTTTAGAATTCTCAATGCTTAACCCCCAAAGTTTTAATATACAAAACCACTGAAAATTCTTCAGAAGGAAATTACAACAATGCCCCACGCTAATAAAAAAAAAAAAAAAAAAAAAAAAAAAAAAAAAAAACCCTTAAAACAGAAACAGGAATCAGACAGGAAAACAAAACAGTACCTGAGACAGTGTAGAATTTCGGTTCATCAGACCCTTAGTTCTTTTAAAGCCAGGATCCCCTTCTGCTATTACATCCATTGTCTTTTTCCCAATGAATTCTAAGGCATCCAAACCTCCAGCGATAACACTCTTTCCCTAGAAGCCACACATAACTTCACTTCAACAATAATGCAAAAATATATTTGAACATTTTGATCAAAGCGTATAGAAGTATGACCATAGACAGTAATCTGACAGAAGAATGTGGAGCAAGTGAAGCAATCATACACTGCTCGCAGTAATGTAACTATACGTAACCACCTTGAAAAAAATTAGTGAGGACCTACGCCACATGCATGACCTGGAAATTCCAGATGTTCACCAGAAAACATGCATGTACAGACTGTGCATACCAGTATTACTTACAACAGCTCTAAACCTGAACTATCCCCAATGCTTACCAGTGGTGGAATGATTGCAATGTGACAATGGAACACAGAAAATGCTCATAAAATGCAACATGGATAAATTATGCAAACATAATAATGTATGAAACAAGCCAAATACATAGGGTTCAATTCCATTTACATAAAAGACAAAAGGAGGCAAAATTAATCTATCATACTGGAAGACAGGACTGGTTGCCTCAGCGCAGAAGATAATATAAGTCATGGGCACCACTGTGTTCCCATGGTAAAAATTCAAACTGAACACTTATTGACATTACATTTCAATAAAAAGTTTTTTTAAAAAAGGACTAGCCATCAACTCTCATAGAGAAACATTATTGTGTCCTCTTTTAAAAATATTTCTCGGGCCGGGGAGATGGCTCAGTGGAATAAGCGCTTCCCTGGGAAGCACAAGAGTCTGAGTTCAATCCTGGGTTCTGCAAAAAAAAAAAAAAAAAAAAATTCTCACTATGCATAACTTTCTACCTGTCTATCATAAATACTGACACTTTTCCCCTTCACTTAAAGATGTAATATAGGAAAAATATTTTTATAATGCACAGACATTGTCTAGGGCCACCAAACTAAAAATTTCCAGTCCATAAAATCTTATATAAATTGTCTTGCTATAGTTTGTCATCTGATATCCCTTTATTTCTTTAAAGAAGTTTCCATGTACACTTAAGAAGTGATTGATTTTAGTTCTCTGGACTCCATTAAGAGTAATCAGTTCCCATAGCTTTTCAAGGAAAAAGAGAAAGATAGGCAAGCCATTATATGACAGGCCATATGGCACATTTTACTTACTGTGCTCTGAACAGCAGTAGAAATAGTCGAGAACACACCAAATGGACCAGCCAAGGAATTTTCTTTGTCTCTGGTATTCGTCTCTTCTACAGTAGGAGAAAGATCACACAAAAGATAAATATGTGAAGAAGGGTCACTGTTTTCTTAGCATCTACATGACATTTTAATAATTAGATGTCACTACCTACAACCTTAAGCCTTTCTATCATGTTATTTGTTAAAAGAGAAGAAAAATAATAATACAGAATTTCAAATGTCTTGTAATGCTCATATTACAAGACACAGGCATACATAATTGATTAAATAATATAAGCACACTGTTGTTTTGAATGAACTAAAAGAAATTAGTAGTATAACTATCTTATCTATCTTTTGTATAGACATTTTTTTCTTTCCCCTTCCTCTTCTCCTTTTACTCATCCAGCTCTTCTTCCTTTTAGAGCAGTTTCTTTCCCTTTCACAATATCTGTTGTAGATCTTGCATTTTAATTTACTTTTTCAGTTTCTAACACTAGAGTGACAATATGATGGCTACACATGCAAGTTTGATTCATTTTACTTTTGAGTATAGTCTCCAGTTGCATCCATTTACCTATGAAGGCCTCGGGTTTATCCTTCTTTATAGCTAAGTAGTACTGAAGTATGTAAAAATACCGTATCATTTTTATCTGTTCCTCAGTTGATGGGTATTTGGGTTGTTTTCAAGATTTAGGTATTACAGATGTGCTGCTATACACATGGGTGTACACAATCACTGTGGTATGATGTTTTCAGTTCTCAAAAAATACCCAGGAGGAGAATAGCTTGGTCAAATGAGAACTCTAATCTTAGTTTTGTGAGGAATCTACACATGGATTTCCACAATGGCTGTACCAATCTACACACCCACCCAGCAGTGGAAAAGGGTTCCTTTTTCTCCAGAACCCCTCCAGCATTTGTTATTCGTTGATTTCTTGATGATAGTCATTCTTTCTGGAGATAGAATCTCAGTGTTGTTTTAATTTGTATTTTTTGAATGACCAATGATGTTGAATTTTTTCATTTTTTCATATATTTAATTGCCAGTTGTACTTCCTCATCTGGGAGAAGTATTTATCTCAGAGGCCCATTTCTGGATTGGGCCTTAGAAAATGGAGGAGCCTATACTCCCAAAATTGCTACATTCAATGAAATTCCAATTAAAATACCACTAGAATACCTTACAGAGCTAACGAAAACATTCTTAAAATTTATCTGGAAACAGAAGAGACTCAGAGTATCAAAAGGAATCCTAGGAAACAAAGGAAAAGCAGGAGGCATCACAATCCCTGACCTGAAATTACACTATCAAGCTACTGTGATACTGTGAATCAGCTTTTGATCTAAAATCAGGAACAAGACAAGGATGTTCACTATCACAATAGAGTTCTGAAAACATTAGCCAGAACAATTAGACAAGAGAGAAAAATAAAGAAAGGATAGGAAAAAAAGAAGTTAAACTATCATTATTCACAGATAACATGATACTCTACATAGAAGACTCCAAAAACTCCACCAAAAGACATCTAGATTTAATAACCAAATTCAGTAGGGTAGCTGGATACAAAATCAACATTAAAAAATCAATAGCATTCCCATACATAAACAAGAAACTGAGAGAGAAATTAGGGAAATCACACCCTTCACAATAGCATTCAAGTAAATGAAATACCTAGGACTCAACTAACAAAGGAAATAAAATATCTGTACTTTGGAAATGACAGCACTCTGAAAGAAAAGATCAAAGAGGATACCAAAAAAATGAGACATCCCTTGCTTATGAATAGGAAGGCCTAAAATAATGAAAATGGCACTACTCCCAAAACTGTTATACAGATTTAGTGCAATCCCAATCAAAATACTATTAGCATATCTCCCAGATCTAGAGAACACTCTTAAGATTTACTTAGAAACAGAAGTGACACAGAACACCAAAGGCAACCAGGGAGTTGGCTCAGTAGAATAAGCGCTATTAAAACTATTATATCTAGGGCCAGCGAGATAGCTTAGTGGACTAAGCACCTGCCTGGAGTTCAATCCCTGGCACCACGTGCAATGCCAGCCCCACCCCCAGGTGCGCTGAGCCAGCCACCGAGACCAGGCATGGTGGCGCACACCTGTAATCCCAGCACTGGGGAGGCTGAAAACAGGAGGATCATTACAAGTCCAAGTGCAAAGTATACCCAAGATTGCCTTTTTTTTTTTTTTTTTTCAGTATGAGGGATTGAACTCAGGATTCTGTGCTTGCCAGGGAAGAGCTTATTCTACTGAGCCATCTCAGTAGAATTATTTCAAATGATCAAACTAAATTACATCACATACTCCATCAGAGGGAGGACTTTCACTTCCATCTATGATGAGTTAAATGATACTGGACTTGTCTTCCTACAACAGCAATTAGAAAACTGGACAAAATTTTTATTAACACGAAGTAGTACAGGACTTCAGTCAAGGAGAAGAGAGAAAAAGTGAACTCTGCAACTGGGTTGACTTTCGATCTAGAGGCCTCTTTCAAATCATGACACAAAAGGGAGAACCTAAGCAAAGCACAACAAATCATGATGGGTGAAAAAGAAAAAGACTAGAATCAGGGAAGGCCGACACAGCTGGAATTTGCAAAGCAGAAAACTGGAAAGGATGGGGTCACATTAAGTAAAGAGCTCTAAGGTTCTACACAGGTGTGCTCTTATGTCCTTAGCTAGATACACCACTGCCCAGGGAAGAGGAGATTCTACAAGACTGGAAAATGAAGTACTACAGAATAATAGTAAGCTATTCCCAGGGCCCCTGTGTGGCTTAGGCATTAGGCTGCCAATCAACCAAAACAGACAGATTTTTGTTTTTTTTTTTTTTTTGCGGAACCGGGGATTGAACTCAGGCCCTTACACTTGCGAGGGAAGCACTTATTCCACTGAGCCATCTCCCCGGCCCCCAGATTTTATTAAAGTGTCTGCTTAAGCAGACACAGAAACCAGAGTTTGATCCCCACATGACATGCCAGGCCCGCCCCCAGGATGCACTGAGACGGCATGGCGCACACCTGTAATCCCAGCGCTTGGGAGGCTGAAAATAGGAGGATGACTATGAGTCCATTCTGTGTAGTAAGACCCTGTAGGGGCTGTACTAAATACATGAAAAAAGAAAGAATTCAAACAGCTGAGATTTAGAAAAGACCTTATAAGACGAGATCCAACCAGTAGAGATAAACTATTGATTAGGGTAAGGTCTACTCTAGATTCATCCTGAACAAACTTAATGTCTTTACATATCAATCTAACCTACACATTTATCATAGCTACCTACCACAAAAGGAAAGCAAAAGACAAAAAGAAAATCTCTGAGTCATGATCAAATGATTTTCATCATTTGATTTCATCATGAATTTCTGCTCAACTCAAACTTCTGAACAGCCACATTTCAACAACACCCTTAGCAGTAGTATTAACCTCCCCCTCAGGAATAGGAAGGATTTATGAAAAGACAATCCATTCCAGTTTTGGACAGTTAATACTTACTAAATGAAAATCTAAGTCAATTTAATGTCCACTAAGTGGTACTTGGTCTGTCCCCCTGAGCCACAAATAATAAATGGAAGCCCTCTCTTCTATGTAATATTCAGAGATGTAAAAAGAACTAGCATGTTTTCCCAATCTCTCCTCCTTAGATTTTCATATTCAATATTGAAGATGCCTTCAACTAAGACATTAATTTCATCTATTTTTTTATAGTGCCCCACTTACACATTAAAAAAAAAAAAAAAACAGGTCATGAAAGATTCAAATTCAGCTAATTCTTCCTGCTCCCTTACTAAATTATGCCATGCAAAATGCTAAGCAACTCTCATATTTTATATTCATGGCCTTATGAATTCTATGTTTACCAATTCCTTGAGATCAGGTGCAAAATGTGAAGAGACACAAAAGTGCTTACATGACGAAGACCTTGAAATGGCAGCTGAAGGATCCAAATCCTTTACCTCACCAATCCATGATGCCACATTGTAGTAATGTTACATAAATTCCTACAGAAAACCAAACTCAACTGTTTCACTTCAATTCAGAATTCTAGACAGCAGCGTTTCCATGTACTGACCTGCTACAAACTTGACTTCAGAGGAAATTTCACTGGGACTAGGGATTCCGAGGGAAGTCTCTGCCTTCTCAATAACATTTGAAATACCTTGTCCTGATATAAGACAAATGGTAACATTTTTCCTATTGGTTACTAAAACTGAAGAAACAAATCAGAAATCCCACCCGCATATTTTTAAAACCATAATAACCATATGGCATATTACTTTAACAACACATGACTAATCATTAGTATTATAGCCTTCCATAAAAAGTTGACTCATCACTACCAAAGTACAGGCTTACACTAGCATTTCCTAGACAGCAAAGTCTAGGGCATCAGCCCATCCTTACTAATCATTCTTACCCTATGAGCCCTCGAGGAGACAGAGGGAAGATTACCAAAGTCATCGTGACACATCTCTGCAGCAAAGTGCACACAGAAGTCATGAAACGACCTTACCTACTGTAGCCACTGTAGCAGAAGCTGAGGAGAGCAAGGACTTGCCCCAGCTTCCCCAGTAGCCCCATCCACTCTGGGTTACATCTTTAGAAACAGGTTCCTGTTTTCCCCAGTAAGAAGAAAAACAAAAGACAACAGAAAACAGAAATTAGAGAAAAATCAAAACATACAGAAAAATAATCTGTTAAGCAAAGTATGCATGAACAAAACATATTGTTTGACTAATGAAATATATTACTTGAGCCAGACCAGATGAAGAACCCATATATATGGACAAATGTATTACTTCAGCACACACTGAAACAGCACTCTGGGAGGCAGAGGCAGGAGTGTCACAAGTTCAAGTCTAGCCTGGGTAACTTAGCAAGACCCTGCCTTCTCAAAATACTAAAAGAAGGCCTGGGGATGTAGCTCACTGAAAAGGCCCTAGGTTCAATCTCGAGCACCAGAAGATCAATCAATCAACCAATAACTTGACTGACAGGTATGTTATCAGCATGCAAGCACCATGTGGCCAAAACAACTACTTATAATGACAATCATGAAAAATGTTTCTGTGGCTGTAAAAATCAAAGAAATGCAACCTTACATTAATATGGATTCTAAGTCTCTTTTAATCCTAGTGTTTACACAACAATATTCTAAAATATATTCTACTTTGGGTGCCACCTATAATACCTGAACCTCTGGAGTTTCAAGGTCACTGGCACATTTGACTTCTGGTCTTCTCCGAGTGGATATCACAAGTTCTGGTTTATTCTTTGGCTTGGCACTCTGGTCAGCAGACTCTGGATTCTTGCCTGGTTCACAGTTTCCATCATTAAGGACGGGGGTGGTCTCAGTTATTACTGGAGTCTCAGTATCATCTTTATCTGACATGATTAGAGCATCACCTGGGAAAAAGTCCAAGAAAAAATATATCTATGTAGGATTTTTTGGTATAAATTCACAGATGTGCACATGTAGATGTATATACAGAGACCCCATATGCCTTCAATGAGTTTCCCTAGTAACATTAATTACAGAATATTATCACACCAAGAAACTAAAACTGATATAATCCATCTTACTCAGATCTCACTGGTTTTACATGCATTTACTTCTGTGTACACAGTTCTATAAAATTCTACCACATATACATTCGTCCCTTTGGTTTCCATAGGGAGTTGGTTCCAAGATCCCCTGATGACAGCAAAACCCATGATGGTCAAGTTCCTTATACAAAGCACTGCAGTACTTACATACAACCTACACATAGCCACTTATATAATTTAAGATCTGTAGATTACTTCTAACACCTAGTGCAATGTAAATACTACGTAAACTGGTGTTGTAATATATTGCTTAAGGGATACTGACCAGGAAAAGTTTGTACAGGTTCACTACAAATGAGTATCTTCCCCAGATATTTTCAGTCTGCAGTGTGTTTAATCTGCTGATGAAGATCCCATAAACATGGAGGACCAACTGCATAGACTCTTGTGACCATCACCACAGCCAAAATACAAAACACTTTAACCACAAGGGTCCTTTGTGCTATCCACTTTTCTGCCACAATAACTTCCCAAATCTTCTAACCCACAGCAAGCAACTACTATTCTCCCCCTTTAAAATTTTGACATTTTATGGTATTATATACATCATACAGAATATTAACTTTTGAGACTGACTTTTTCATTCAGCACAAAAATCTCCAAATCCACTTAGGTTGTATCAATAACTCCTTTTTATTTCTAAGTAGTATTCCACAGTTTAGATAATCACAATTATTTATCCACTGAAGGTTGTCTGGGCTGTTCCATTTGGGGCTGTTACAAAAATAAATTAACTACGAAAGTTCATGTACAGATTCTTACAGAAACATGAGCTTTCTTTTCACTGGGCAAAACATTCAAAATATAAACAATAGGTTATTATCCAGTAAGTACGTGTTCAGTTTTATATGAAACTGTTACATTCTTTTCCATAATAGCATGTTATTTTCCCTCCCAGGACTGTGTAAGTGATCAAGTTTATCTCCCTTCTCTCCAACTTTCATGTTAGTATTATTTTTTATTTAAACTAGTCAGATAATTAAGTGGTAGTTTCTTACTGTGGCTTTTCAGTTGCACTTCTATAATAGTTAACAACATTGAATACCTTTTCATTTATTTATTTATCACCAAAATAACTTCTTCTGTGAAATATCTATTTGCCGGCTTCTAATTAGATATAATTGGCAGCTTTGTTTTCTGGAGGAATGGTTTTCTTTTTTTTGTTAAATTTTAAGGACTATCCCACATTCAAGTTCTCTGTTTATAATGCAGCTTTACAGCCAATACGTACATTTAAAAAACGTTTCACATCACTAACCACTTAAGAAATTCACATGAAGACAATAAGATTCCATCTCATTCCAGAAAAAATGGCCATCATCAAGAACTCAACAAATAACAATGCTGGTAAGACTGGGTGGGGAAGGAAGCCACCCTTCTAGACCCAGCTATCCCCCTTCTAGGTTTCTTCCTGAAAGTGTTCAAGGCATCATTGCCATAATGGTGCATGCACACCCATGTTTGTGGCAGCACAATTTAGAACATCTAAATCTTGGAAGCAGCCTACACGTCCAACAGTAGATAAACAAAGAAAATGTGGCATTTATACACAATAGAGTACTACTCTGCTATAAAGATAAACTTGAGACCTTTGCAGGAAAACGGATGCACCTTGAGACAATAATGTGAAGCAAAATAATCAGACACACAAGCCGAAATATCTCTTGGTTTCTCTTATATGACAAACTCACCATATATTAAAGTGCAAAGAAAATAAAAAAGGAAAAAGAAGTTATTGTAATTCAACATGGACAGGGCTAGGGAGATAGCTCAGTAAAATAAGTGCTTGCATGGCAAGCACAAGATCCTGAGTTCAATTCCTGGTACCGCAAAAAACAAAACAAAACAAAACATGGACAATAGATCTAAAAGTGTGCCTTGATTTAGTATAATTGTCTTGTTTTATAGGTACTTTTGGCCTGTTAGTCCGACTGTCAATCTTATGTATGATAATTAACTTTCTAAGGATTTACAGGATAAATAAATTAAGCTGATGCTGGTAAAAAGGGGCAAGGCGAAAAAGGAATTTACTTATTTATTACGTATCTGGTACAGGATCTCACTATGCAGCTCAGACTCCGTGATCCTCCTCTTTCCGGCCTCCCCGGCACTGGAATTACAGGCCTGTGCCACCACACCTTGACTCAGTGGACAGGGACAGGGGTGGGGCCAGTGCACACTGTGGTGCCAGGGATCAAACCCCAATCCTTGTGTTTGCCTAAGCAGGTTCTTAGTCTGCTGAGCTATCTCGCTGCCCCCACCAAGAATTTAGATGCATGTACATGTAGCAATTCCCCACAATTAATCTATTCTCTACATACTGCAAACATGTAGTTCAAAAAAAATTTTTTTAAATAAAACATAGTTTTCAACTATCATATCCCAGTTTATAGCTTATCTTTTCATTGTCTTCATGGTTTTCCTCTGAAAAAGAGCAAGTTTTTCACTTCAGTGAGGTGTCACTATCAATTTCTCCTTTTATCAATTATTCTTCAAAAATCTTATTAATCATTACTACTTCAATTTTTCCAGAAAGATTATTAAAGCCGTATATAACATTTCTGTCAGATAAGCTTTGAATAGCAGTAAAGCTCTTTGGCGATTAAAGTCGTGATATTATTGGTATTTATACAAAAAGCAGATACTAATTTTCAGGATTAAACAAGAATCAGCAAATAAATGTATCTCACACATATACAGATAGCTATAAACACATGCCCTAGGTGTAAACAGTTTAGTCCAGTACTCAGGACAGAACAAAATCTATGCCATCCAACCGTTTCTAATAGAATTGAAAAGACACACTTAACAACTGAGACAGACTGGACACAGCACTACAAAAGAGGTAAACGAAATACTAACAGAAAAAGAAAGGAAGCTGGCCAGCAGACTCAGGAGATATAACTCATCGACACAGTACCTGAAGTAAGTCTCAAGCAGTGATCACCAACTGGGAACCTTTGAGCGCCAAATCCAGCCTACAGATGTTTTTAATTGGACAGCTCAGTATTTTTAAAATTAGGTGAGAACATTTAAAAATCAGACTTCATACAAAAAATACACATTTCCAACTGCTCTAGTAAAACTAGAAGATCTGGCAACACCAGGGCCATGTGACTGGGTAATAACTACCTTAGCTTAGAGAGCCCTTGTGTCCTTCTAGGTAAGGCAATGCTTTCCCATAGTCCACAATTCTCACTCAAATCCACTTCATCATTTATTTTAATCTGATTAGTCCCACAGGTATTTTAGCTTACAACACTACCTGAAGTTGTACTTAAGATCTTGAAAGACAAAAAAGCCAATGAGAGAATTCCAGGGTATGGAAACAACACAGGAGAAAGCGTCCTAGATACGACTTTTTTTTCTTTTTCAGTGCCAGGGATTGAACTCAGGACCTTACACTTGCCAATTACCAAGATGTAAGATGGGTCAGTTGCCTGGACAGCTAAGGTATCAAAGAGGATGATGGGGCAGCACAAGGCGAGATAGGTTAAGATAACACCATGAAGCCTAAACCATGTGAGTATAAGTTACACAGCCCCAAAATACATACAGAAAAAGAATCCAGATACAACTGACATACAAGCCAACCTGAAATATTCACTTGCTTCTAAATATCTTATAACCCCACTCTGTACCAAGCTGGAGGTACAGAACTAAGGTAAGGTGATGTCTACCCCGCTTAATTCAAAGGCTCATCTAATTGTAAAGACTACGCAGTCCACGCACAATATCAATACTTCTGTAGATGAGTGAACACACATTTTACTATTTCTCCTTATGCTTTCTCAGGTTACAGCACATAACAATATTACACATACTATAGTACATATAGTACACATAATACAGTATACCTATTAAATTCACATTATAAAACATTAGAATGGCATACCCCAAAATATTACTTTTATTTGTGCAACAAACAATTTTTCGTGTGCCGATGGCTGTTGATTACTACCGTTACAAGAACAGCTGCAGCGTCCTTGTTCTGAACAGCTTCAAACCGGGGTGGAGGGAGGAGGCAGACAATAATACCAGGTACATGGTACTTCAGTATTTGTTTTTGTAAGCCTTCCAGGTGTTCCATAGTATTTATTTTCAAAACTGGAGGAGAAAAGGACTCCAATAACTGGAATCTCAAAAGGAAAACAAAAGGCAGGCACGCGCACGCACGCACGCACGCACGCAGCCGCCCCGCCTCACCTACGAAGCCGCGAGCCGCACAGCTGAATACTTTGAGTCCCGGCTCTGCGGCCACGCTCTGCAGCCCTAGACTGACCGACGGTGGCCAAGGCCACTGCTCTGCTCCTCTGCTCCCCCGGCCAACCGGGGCGCCCGACACAGGGACGCAATGGGAACGCGGGCACGGACAGCACGTCCCCGCCCGAGAGGAGCGGCTTCGCTCCCACAGCACCGGCGGAGGTGGCAGCTGTTTGCGGCCTCACTGCCGTCACCCGCCCGGCAGCCCCGGCGCACAGACGCGCTTTCTCACGTCCCCGGACTGTCCGGAGCTGGCCCCCAGCGACACGCGGGAAACACGCGCCCCCAAGTTCTTCGACGCCAACAGCGTCGCGGCGCCTCGGTAGCCAAAGGCTTTCCCAGCCCGCGCCCTGGCCTGCGCCGCGCACCTCGGCCGCCTCCGGCTCCCGCGAGCTCACACCCTGCCTGCTCCGCCCGGGAAGCCCCGCGCCGAGCCCACCTCCTCCCTCGCCACACCCGGCTCGACGCCGACTCGGCGCTCCTCCGACCCGGAAATACTCCTGTCGGCCGGGGGCGGGGCCGCGCCTGCCCGGGAACACTTCCGGGTCACGCAGCGGTTTGGACGAAAGGAGGTCGGCCTGGGTTCGGTGAGTGAGGGCTTGGACCCGGGAGCCTCAGGGGAGGTCCTGGACAGCGCAGGTGTGGGACTCAGCCGGGGGGTCGGGGTCGGGGTCGTCCGTCCAGATCGGAATGAGCAGAAACCCCGCCTTCTCGTCCCTGACGCTTCGGTGGGCGAAGCAAAGCGCAAGTCCGCCACAGCATTATGTGAAGTGGGCACGCGTGCTTTAAAGAGTTTTGGTCGGGACAGTGGAGCAGGACGAAGTGAGGGAGTAAGAGGTCTGTAAGATCTGGAGTCTACAGACTAGGCAGAGGGAAAGGCCGTGGGGACGGGTGGGGGCAGGGGACAAACTTAGCGAAGTCGAGGAACGGGACCCGGGCCGCTGCCACTGCCGCGCCCGGAGCCGGAAGGGCGGCGGGACGCGGCCGGGACTTCACGTCCCTGAGCCGGGGTGCGGAGTGTGGCCTTTATTGGGAACTCGGAGCGGAGGAAGGATGTGCTCCTCGCGTGGCTTCCTTGCCCCTGCCCTCAGCGGAAAGAAGATGCACCCTCTCGGCTGCCCTTGGGGCGGAGGGGGATGCGGGAAAGGCGGCCGCGAGCAGAGCGCCCGAGGCACCGTACTGTAAGACGAGGACGATTAGATCCCAGAGGGAAAGAGGCTCGGCGTTTAAGACTAGGTCTTCCGTCTCCCTTTAATGCCTTCGGAATTAACCCTTTTAGATATTTTCATTTACTTTCTCTTAAATTTAGCCTTAAGTGTATGTGGGAGGTTTCAATAAATGTCTACTCCAAAAGAGAAAAAACACTATCAGTATAAAATAATTTTCTCTGTCACAATAAAAAATGAATGGGGTTGAGATTTAAGTTCGTATCTTCGTAAACTACTTAATAGCGCTCTTAATCTTATGCTTATACAGTGCTGCTGTTTTCAAGCTTTTAGATCATAGAATCTCTACATTATGAAAACTTACTGAGACCTTCCAAAGAAGAGGGTTTTTTGTTGTTGTTTTTGTTGTTGTTGTTGTTATACCTACCAATATTTATCATTTTCAGCGCCAGAACTTTCAAAAAGTTAATTGTAAAATAATAATACATTCCATGGTTAACCTGCCGGCATTTGGTCATTACATATTGTTTACATATATTATCACGTGGTCCCCATACATTTATATAATTATATGTTGAGAACAGAATGTTAATATTGACATGTACTTTTAACAATTACTCAAATATTTAACAGTCTCGTTGCAAGCTGTACAATGTTCAGAACTGTTGCTGTTAAAGGTTAGGTGTTACTGCAGATCACGAGAGTGTCATTTCTTCGGTTATTTTGATAGGGGGAGGGGAATAACTCCCAACCTGCTAGATGTCAGATAGGACAAGTTCTTGTTCTCTGAACAACGGAGGTTAAGAGAAAAAGGGGTCTCAAAAGTAGGTTACCAGTAGCCCCACTTCTCTGAGAAAGTTTCATAAAGTAAGAGTTGGGTACAATGTGGGTCAAAACTTTGATCAACCAATTAAATTATAATATGGCCCCTTAGGTAATACTAATCCTTTAGGGAAGAAGGTCACAAAGCAAGAGTACATGGAAAGAACAAAGATATTTTTAGGAAGGGATGGGTCTGGAGGTTCTGGTCACCCACCTCAGTGACTAATGTCTGTCTAGACTTTTAAGGACCAGTTGATACCAGTTATAGTATAATATTTAAGTTTTTGTTCACTGGACATGGTGGGATAGGCCTGTAATCCCAGCACTTGTTAGGCGGAGGCAAGGAGGATTGCCATGAGTTCAAGGACAGCCTAAACTGCTCAGTGAGAGTTTGTCTGAAAACAGAAAGCTATTGCTTATCCCTCAGGGGAACAGGTAGGCCTAATCATGCCACCTATGTCCTGAGGCCTGGCTTTTAACAGATGCCTTCCAGCCACAGGTGTAATGTGTTTTCCTCTGCCTGCAAGGACTCCCTCAAAGACAGAGAGCCCTGACTGACTATAATATTTCTACCTAGCTTAGTTGTCTACCATAGTATAATTATTGCAAGGCTCAGTGTGTTTTTTTCTTCTAATGTATTTGGTGCAGTGTCTTACTACGCAGCTCAGATTCATAGTGATACTCCTGTTTTCAGCCTCTCCAGCAGTGGGATTATAGGTGTGCACCACTCCCAGACTTGGTGTGATGCAGTATGTGGTGCTAGGATCAAACCCTAGTTCCTGCGCTTGCTTCATCAGCTGAGCTATCTCACTGGCTCTTGATTTTTTTTAAACTTCTGTTAGTACATTTTTGAAGTCCATAATTACATTCATCGTGAGGAGTTGGTATATGTACGTAATACATCTTAATTATTTTCTGTACCTCACCCTCCTTTCCCTCCCAGCTGCATTTTTCTCTACCATCTTCTTCCTCCTTCCCTTCATTCCCCTATGATCTATCTTTTGTTTACCATTTTATTTATATTTTGACTTTCTCATATAACAGAAATCTTGCAACATCTGATCTTCTATTGCATTTCACTTAACATGATCTCAAGGTACATCCATTTTCCTACAAATGACTCAGATTTATCCTTTATGACAGAGTAATACTCCATTGTGTATAAATACCCCTTCTTTGTCCATCCATCTATTGATGGACATAATGGCTGCTCCCAAGATTTAGCTATTTTGTATCATGTTGCTATAAACATGGGTATACATGTGTCACTATAATACATTGTCTAACTCTTTGGGGAAGATACCTAAAAGGGGAATAGCTGGACCCAATGGAATTTCTATTTTTAGGTTTTTGAGGAATCTCCATATTGATTTCCATAGCAGTTGTACCACTTTACATTCTCACAGCAGTGAAGAAAGATTCCTTGTATCTGATTTCTTGATGTTAAGCATTCCTTCTATACCAGCATTTCTTGAAAAAATATTTTCTAAAACAAAAATGTTGAGAATGGCCGTTTTACATTTTTTTGCAAATCTCTTTGATGTCTAACTTAGTAGAAAAGAAATAGGTTTTCTCCTGCATTTTTTTTTTAAATGTATTTAGTACAGGGTCTATAGGGTTTCACTACACAGATCAGACTCATAGTGATCCTCCTGTTTTCACCCTCCCAAGCACTGGGATTATAGGAGCACATCACCACACCCAGTCTCAGTGCACCCTGGGGGCAGGGCTGGCAACCAGTGATATGAACCCAGTCCTTGATCTGCCGAAGCAGGTACTTTAATCTGCTGAGCTATCTGGGCAGCCCTCTCCTGCATTCTTTTGGAATAACATTCCATATGTAGCCTCTGAAAAATTGCACCATGTTGTAGGAGAACAAATATGAAAAAAGAAAATGTCCTTGTGGGGTTGTTTTTGGTCTTGAGTTTTTGGTAGAATTTTGTTTTGTTTTTGATATAGGGTCTTGTCATATAGTTTGAGCTGGCCTTGAACTCACTGTGTAGCCCAGGCTGGGCTCAAACTCAGCAGCAGTCATCCTACCTTAGTCTTCTGGATGCTGGTATTATAGGCATGTACTACCACTCCCAGCTTAATGTCTCAGTATTATTAAAACAGTTTGAAAAAAAATCTCAGGGACACAGAAATCCCTATACCAAACTTCAAAAATTTTTGAATTATATTGTTACATAACCATCAAAAGAAGTATGGGCATGATTTGTAAATCAGTAAAACTATGTGCCCATTAAAAATACAAATGCCCAAACCCTCCCCCTAGTGGATGTCCAGTTAGTAAATCTGCATCGACCCAAGAAACCTGCACCTTTGGCAAATACTACAGATATAAGCACTGAGTGCTTACAGTTTGCAAAAAGCAAAAGTGAATTTCTTGAGAGTATCTTGTCCTTAAATCAAAAGTGCTTACAGCTTGCAGTTGGAAAAAGCAAAAGTGAAATTCTTGAGCAGATTCTGCCCTTTTATCGAACTGCTAGTTCCTTACTTTCAAATCTGTTTACTAACAGTTTCTAGAGACTGATGTTATAGAAAGTTAATATTAAGTCTGTACTAGACCCCTCTCTGACTTATCAGTTTGATGAGTATCTGAACTCTATTTTTCATCTGTTATAGGCAGTGGCCCTTTGCCAGGGACTGAAAAACAGTATAGGTTGTCATTCATAAGCTTGATAAATTGGTAAAGAGGTACACTGCAATAAGTCTTTTAATAGCGCATCCTCAATATGCTAGAGGACTGGCAAAGCCAAAGAAACTCATCTAAAAGAAAGCAGTGGTACTGTAATGCACTTCTCTCAAGGGCCCGCAGTTTTCTTTGTGTACTTTAAATTTTGCTTAATAAACCTCTGTGCCTCTACAAAATGAAGAGGGTGGGGTATTTAGGTAAGAGGGCTTCCTGAACAAAGTGAAATTAGTTTGGTGTTACGGAGATTAAAATTTCCGCAGCAGCATATCAGAGGGATAAAAGAAAGGAGATACAAAAGAAATAAGAACTTGAAGGTGAAAAGTTATTTAGAGAATAAAATGTATAATCAAGGCTTTGTGCCAGGATAGCAAAGCTGGGAGTTTATAGAACTTAAGCAAATAACAGTGATAATCAGTCTCCAGATGAGGAAATTAAGACTACTGGACTGCATCAGGGCTGCGTGATGGAAGACCATACTGAACTTCTGAATCCATTTCTTCAGCAAGCAATTATTGTGCAAACACGGTTGAACTTACTATCTTTCTTGTGTCACCTGAATCGATTTTTGAGAATTATGGCACCAGACTAAAATTTTTAGCCTATCTCATGGATAGTGAAAACTCATCATTAGATTTTAAAGTTGTCTGGACTTGCTTGAATTTGTTATGTCCAACCAGTTCTGAGAGGGGCAATGTTTAGATACATCTAAGGAGGAATATTGAAACTCAAAAGAGTCCTATTTAGAAAGTGACAAGATAGTAAAAGCACGGTGACCTAGGGCGGGACAGTAAGAACTGAAAAATATGTAGGAAATGACCCAATAATAGCAGCTTGTGTTTATAATTTACTAATATCCCTCATCTTATCCTCAAAAACTACCCTATGCAGTGGTTACTATTGTATTATTAACCTTAGTCTGCAGATGTGAAAGCTCAGGCTTTTGGGGCCCACAGCTCCAAAAAGATCAGGTAGTACTCCAGCACCTATCCTGAGCTATATAATCCTATAATTTTAGTATTACAGAACCAGAGAAATTGTGGACTACTGTTGAAGCTGTGCATATGCTAGATTAGAAGATCTGAGAAAAAGAATGAGCAGTTCCATTTTAGATTTCTGAGCTTTAAGATACAAGGGGACATCTCAGACTAGACAAAAACTGAGGAATAGAGAGATCATAAATATGAACATGTTTCCTGTGTCCTTTTATCTTTTGCCTCTAGTAGTATTCAGCAGATGTTTATGATAAAAAGGGCAAAAGTTACAGGTACAGTATAACGAAAAGAACGTTGGACTCATAGCAAAGTTCAAATAAAGATCAATATAGATGTTTCTGAGCAAATGCACTTTGAATTTTCAGGAGAGACTGCCCAAATGCCTATTGCAAGTTATGTGTTGGTTCTCAGCAAGCCCTGGAAGTATTATGTGCTACTTTAATTAAAAACTTGTATATGGTGTTGGATGTGGTGGTACAGACCTGTCATATCAGCATTTAGGAAGCTGAGGCAATAGAATTGAGTTCAAAGCAGGCCAGGACCTCATAGCTTTAAGTCTAGCCAAGATTACATAGACCCTAGCTCAAAAAACTTCTATGTAAATGCCTCTCAGAGTGATGATTCCTGCTTGAAAATGACTTTTTTATGTTGCAGATCCCTATAACACAGCTTTGAGTATAAGCAGAACAGCGTTGTGTTTGTTCTTTGCAAAAGATGGAGTAGCGCTAACAATCTGCTCTTCATTTGCTTTCTGTCTTCATTGCCAATTCAGAATGCCACTTTGTCAATTGGTGCACCGTTTCGTAGGAACTCGTCCATGTTCCAAGTGTGACAGTGCTGACAGAAGAGTAGATGAGCGGCAAATACAGCCTGGAACACATTTAATTATGGGGAGTGAAGCATTAATAGCTCAGTATAATTGGAGCAAAACACAGTACCATCTGGGCATCAGTGTTTCTCCCCTCTGAGTTATCTGAGAACTATTTCAGCAAACAGCAGTTTCCTTAGCCAACTTAATATTGAGCCACCAGAGCGGAAGTCAGCCACATTACTTCTTTATTTACTTATGTTGAGAACTGGAATCAAATGGAAATATTTCTTCTCTCAGAAGTTGGCAAGAACCGTTATAAGGCAATCTGTTAGGGATGACAGCTACATGCTCTTAACTTTCTCTCCCTTTTTAAAAATATAGTCAATATTCAGCATGGTTTTCTAGAGTAAGATCATCTACATGTCTGATTATTCTTGATCCTAGTAAAGCTTTCATTCTGTGTAAGAAAAGATTTAAAAAGTTGCACTGAACTTGAGTGTGATGTTTACTCATTATACTCTTACTAATGCTGAAGAAAGTACAAAGATCTACCAAGTAACTTCATCTACAAGCGAAGTGCAGCCCTTTTGATTGTTTACATGAAGGTGCTACTTGATTCTCCCTATTAAATTCTTTCTTCTCCAGCTTCAAATGTCAGTTGCTACCTTACAAATAGCAGGCCTGGTATTATAGACAGTCCCAAATTTAAAAGAGGATTGCATTTCTAAAATTCATGAATTACTTCTTTGTCTTTTGCATTGTCTTATTCCTCCCTTCAGTACACCTTACACTGGTTTGAACAGTTGGTCAGCTGTCCCTGCAGACACCTTAGCCAGTTGGTATATTCCTGAGCGTCTGGGATAGCGTCGTTAGCATTCCTTGCAGCAGCTAGGACCTTATCCTGCACAAGAAGTGTCCCTGATTTAAGCGATGTTTTAAGGTCAGGCTAGAGTGAGCAGAGTATTAATAGTTGTATCAGTGCTGCTGAGAAGGGAAGGAAAAGGAATTATTGTAGTCGATACAGTTTTTGTGCACATAGCAGAAATCCATTCGAACTAACTAAAATAAAAGATTTAGTACAAGGAAGAAAATCAAGGCTACGCTGATCCCAGGATGATTTCTTCCCTTGGTCTCCTTTCTGCTTCTGTCTCTGGATGCACTCCTTTGCTCATGTTTTCTCTTAGCTGCTGCTGTCTACCAGTGCATTGTGCCCCTCGGTTACTTGCAGTAGTTGTTCTCTGTGCTCAGATGCGCCTGACGTACGAGTGGGGCGCCCACACAAGGACCTATTTCTCTCCTGGCATAAAGCCATTGTATCAAGCTACTTATGCCACCTTTGGCTAAAGAGCAGTTCAGATGTTTATAGTATTTTCTAGACCAGTCCCGTAGGCTCCTGTGAACTTCCGTAAAGGCAAATAGGACCACCCCCAGTGTGAGAGAGGAAGAGCTGGAGGCGTAAGATGAGTGTTGCTTCACAGTGCTTTTGCTGAGCTTCATCTTTTTGCCCCTACTTAGCCATTTCCCCTTTTGTTCTCTTGTTTACATATTCAGTGTTCATTTTTGTTTTGTTTTAACTGTGAATAAAATTAAAGATGTTTACTTCTTTGAAAATGAGGGCTGTCAAGATAGCTCAGTGGACTAAGCTTCTGCTTAGGCAAGTGCATGGACTACAGTTCGATCCCTAGTACCACATGCCATGCCAGCCATGCCCCTGAGCAGGCGGAGTCCAGGCATGGTGGCGCACACCTATAATCCCAGCCCTGGCAAGGCTGAAAACAGAAGGATCCCTACAAGTCCAAGCTGTGTAGTGAGACCCTGCACAAAACAAAATACAACAACAAAAGAGTCATTGGCACTTAAGAGTTGAATCATTTCAAAATCCAGAGCAACATGTATCCATCCTGTCTTTTGTGCTACTTTGTCCCCCTCATTCCCTTCCCTTTTCCAACTCTTCCCTGTCTACATCTGTTATCCTTTCTCTAAGCTCCTTGCATGTATCTCAGACCTGACTCTCTAAACCCCTGTATGCCTTTTTTTCCTTGAATGGCCCAGAACACAGGTGTCTCATTTCTTTCTTTCTTTCTTTTTTGTACTGGGGATCAAACTCAGGACCTTGTGCTTGCCAGACAGGCGCTTATACTGCTGAGCTGTATTCCCAGCTCACAGGTGTCTCATTTTTAAATGCTAGGAACACAAGTTCTGATACTTGGTTAGATAATGGACTGGTTCTTCCTGGGCCCACGAAGACAGAGGAAAGACTCAAAACAGGGAGCCGTAAATTGAATAGATCACAGAACTGGGGATATAGCTCAGCAGCCTAAGTGCTTACCTGGCAAGCGCAAGATCCCAAGTTCAATCCCCGGTACCAGAAAAAAAAAAAAAAAAAAAAAAATAAAAAAAAAATTTAAACAAATTTTTGGGCCAGGGAGATGGCTCAGTGGAATAAGCACTTCCCTGGCAAGCACAAGGGCCTGAGTTCAATCCCCAGTTCCACAAAAAAAAATAAAAAATAAAAAAAAAATTTAAACAAATTTTTGGGCCAGGGAGATGGCTCAGTGGAATAAGTGCTTCCCTGGCAAGCGCAAGGGCCTGAGTTCAATCCTCGGTTCTGCAAAAAAAAAAAAGAAAGAAAGAAAAAGAAACAAAATGTTCTCTGTCTGGAACTCAGGATACATAAACCAGTGTAACATCATAGACTATAGTTCCATTTACACTGGCTGTTTGACCCATCTTGTTGCAAAATATTCGCAATGAAAAAGGGTGACGTTTTAAAGATTGAAATCATAATAGTGTCCTGAAACACAAGTTTTGTAGGTGTTTACATGATATTCTGAGTAAAATTGACCTGTAAGGGTATAACAGATATATTTTAACACAATATCAGAACTATCAACAATAACAATATTAAAGAATACAATATTCAGTGATGACTGTTGCTAAACTCCATGTTTTACATGTACGATCTCATAAGATTTCACAATATCCTAAGTGACTATGTACTATAATTTTCCCACTTTAAAGATGAGCAGACTGAAGCACAAGGAATTAAGTTTATATAGTTACAGGGTAATTAAGGGTCAGAGCACCAGAAATCAAACCCAGGAAGCCCGTCTCCACAGCCTGTACTATAAACGTACGTGCTGCTGGGGCTTTCTTAGAAACTTGTTAGACTTTTACATGGTAACCTAAATCAGCATGGACTGTCTGATTAGTTCTTTCTCACTGGAGATGTTCCATCCGGAATGCCAGTAGCCAGGACTGTTGTAAAGGAAGGGAGACTGTGTATTGGCAGCCCCTGGATGGTAGCACGTAACTGCCCACAGTTACCTGGAAAACTAATTAGAAGCCCTAAATTCTAAAGACAGGCCCAGAAGTTTTCAGTAGGTCTTGGGTGGAACTCAATATATTTTTAAAAAGCTTTCTAGGTAATAGTGATATTACCCAGCCTGGTTTGGAAACTGGATTTGGTGAACTTTCATTCCTAATATTATCTTCTAGGACAAGATGATAAATGAAGACTTTAGGGGTTGACAGTTTGAAGAATATCTTTAGTGGGTACCTATTAGGTCTTTGGAAATTGTTAACATTGTTTTTTGTCTAGAAAATAAAATAGATACTAGTAAACATATCACTCTGAATAATGGTGATACTTCATGGCTATTCAGTTAATATAGATATAATGGTATCTATTATATCAAATTTAAACTCTCTTCATCAATAAATATTTATTAAGTGTGTACTATTTACGTAGTAATCAAAAACATAGTCTCTGGTTAAAGGACTCATAGGTCAGATGAGCAGATTGGTGACCACTGAAGAGCAGCTCATGCCAGAGCCAGTGAGTAACATGCACAGTATATGCTTGGGCTCAGGGAGAAGCCTTGGACACCCGGGCATGTGCAGAAGGAGGCATGCTTAGAAAGGAGGCTGCATGGAAGGAGGTACATTAGGAAGAGGTTCCTGCAGCAGGAATGCTGCCGGTGCTCTGTGTGAGATACACTTGCCCAGGACCCCTCTCTTGGAGGCTGTTTATCTCCTCAGGGCTCCTGCCTCTCAGAGCAAGGACAACGAAGCCACTACCTCTTCTTCCAGTATCTCCAACAGTAAGTTACTGCTCTTCAGAGGCACTCAATTCTTTGACTTTTTTCGTCTTGGACAACTATTGTCTTTACTCTAGTCACTACAGTTGTCAATCCATTTCTGGTTTTGCTTCTAGCCCAGCCTGTTCCATCCAGCATCAGGAATCAAGTCCAGCAATCTCTGGCCACCTGAGGGTGGTTAATGTGACCGACTTGTCACTGCTACAACTTGTAGGTATTTCCCTGAACGTCCCTCACCAGTGATCTCTGCTTTTCCCTGTGCCCTGGCAGTCTACCTGGAGCATTTCTGTTGATTCCTGTGAATCCTGTAGGTCCTGCTGCTGAGCTTTCTCAGAGTCACTTTCTGGGCTAAGGTTCACTCCATGCTGCACCATCCTGTAGCATCCTATATTTTCTCTTGGCAGCGCTAAGCATATATTGTACATAGTTAGTTTCTGAATCTCTAGCCAGACTGAGCTCTGTAAAGACAGATGGTGTTGGGAGAACAGTAGGTTGGCACATGGTAGGTGCTCAATAGGTACCAACCACTGAGGACAGGAAAGTGCATACTTCTCATGTGAAACTCAGTGATGGGAAAAGGTAGGAAGGAGGGAGATGGCAGGACAGAAGTGAAGTGGTTTTAGAACAAACTGAAGCCATAGAGAGCTGTATGTTTTGTTTGTAGCATTTTCCTCACAAAGAGAGCAGGCCTCCAGCTCAGAACCTTCATTCAGCAAGTTACCACGAAGTTACTGGCATTGTTACACTTTTGTTATACTTTAGTTTTCAGTTGCTTTTATCCACAGAAGTGATGTTGAGTTTTGTACATTAAATAGATGAGAATAAAATGACTTGTTTTAAAGGAAAAGGTTAAATAGCAATAATTTGATCCCCAGCAAAAAAAGAAAAAAAGAAAAAGAAACAAGTGACAGCAGAAGAAATGAGTGGAATTTGGAAAACCCTGTGTAATCAAAGCCATAGGAGCTCCTTGTCAAGGCCCTAGGGAAGCCTAGTATGCTTCTCCTGCACACTCACATAGCCTACTAATCACGAGAAACACTAGTCTAAAGTAAAGATCACATTTGGTCCAGTCTTGAAGTGAAAAAGAATTTGGAAGCTTTTATATTGCGCCCCAGCACAGTGCCTGGTTTATGGCTTTCAGTCAGTAAGTGTTATTTCCCATGTTTTTTGCTTCTCACCATTTACTACAAAAGAGCGATCAGGTTCTAATCTGGGTTTTCTGATTAAGTCCAGCCTAATCTTAAAGAGACAATCATTGTGAAGTTTATAGATTAGATGAAATCATTTATAAACTGTCTTCTAATGTCCACGTCTTTGTTTCTTTCATTATCATTTTAGTAACGTTTTAGGACAAAATGGAAATAAACATGTGTTCAATCTGTCATGTAAAGCCGAAGTCTATGTTTTGTTTTGCTCTAATCTATTATTAAATTTTAAGGAAGACTATTTTTGTCATTCAACCATCCTTTCAAAGGCTAATGAAAATTAAATGACATTTACAACTTCTTATAATTCAGACTTTGAGGAATTTAATGGAAAAATACAATGATTCATTGCTTTTTACATTCTGTGATCAAACAGCCTTCATGTGAGTATAAAAGAGAGTAAATGTCATTTCTAAAACTAATGATCTTGGGTCTTTACATGACATAAAGCAAGGACTTTCACCCCCTATTTTATAGAAATACAAATTGAAATTGTTCTTTTGAGAGTCAGTGATTTAAAAGGGGAACCAAATAAGCAAAAAGATAATCATTAACTGTGTAACTGGGCTTTTATTTTGCCTTTTTTATTTATGGTAGTTCGCTCTTTGTTTAATATTGTCTAATCTCCCTATAATTTTATTTTTGCACACTTAAGGTATCACTAGACCTTCACCTAGAAATTTGGTATTCTTACAAACATATATTTTATTTTGGTTCTTAATATTGAAGAAGCCATTAAAGGAAAATTCTTTTATCTTTTTTTCCCAAGAAGAAGGCACTATAGCCCCAGAAGCCAGTATCTCTCCTTATATAAATGCTTTTAGAACAATTTTCTTTCTAATATTAAGACTAAAAAGACTATCTTAAACATTCTTGCATTATTTATATTTAATATATGTACATACTTGAATTACATAAATTTTGAGTTCCATAATTATGATTATAATATACTAGTTGATTTACATTATTGATATAACAACAGATGGTAATGTTGCAGGTTGAAATAAAAGATCATTAAGCTAAATATTTTAGCCTTCACTGGCTCCCTGTTGCATAGGATTTGTCAGAGTGAAATAGGATGATAGCATTTCAGAATGAGAAGAGTCCTCAGAGAGTTTCTCATCTCATTCCTCATTTGACAGATGAGAAAGCAGAAGCCCGGAGAGATCGCTTCCTGCCAAGGTCATGCAGCTAGTTAGCAGCAAGGTGGGGCCAGAATCCAGGTCTGCTCTTCCCTAATTCTGTGTTTTTTCTGCTATCTCTGGGCAAGATTTTTAAGTTGTGTCTCAAATCACTCCCTGATTTGATCATCTTAATTTCTCACCTCTTCATTTCCAATACATTCACCCCATTGTGAGTCTCAGTTGATTAAATTTTATATTTGGCTTTCTTTTAGGTTGTTCTCCACTCACATCTTTTTAATTGTAAGGACTTCAAATTACACTTGGATCTACCTACTGCTCTTGTAGAAAACTTCACCAAGCAGTAAATCACCCCCTGTTCTCTCGTCGTAGTGGAGCAGCTTTTGAGTTTTCCAAGGCTAAGCAAGATTTTTTTGCCTTATCCCATGAAGCCATATTGTTGCTTCTGCACTCTAATGGTCATTGTTACAGTGCCAGCTGCTTTTGTTTTGGAAGATGTGGATTTCACCCAAGTTCCCCCACTGGGAACACATCAAGGTTCTTCCAAGCTGTCGGCAGCTTCCCACTCAGGCAGTGATGTCATCATAGCCAAGGAGGGAACTAGCGTCTCACTTGAATGTCTTCTCACAGTTGCTCACTATGAAGATGTCCATTGGAACAACTCTAAAGGGCAGCACCTGGATGGCAGAGGTAATTACGTCAGGGTAGAATTAATCAAGAATGCTCATTTCCTATTTTTGGTCTTCTGACATATTTAGCAAGAAATTGCAAAGATGAGATCCCAGATTACGTGTCTTAAAACTGTGGAAAGTCTTGGAGTGTTTTATCCCTATTAAAAGGATCAACATAATTACAATTATTTAGCTAGAAGAAAAAAGTAAAGAATAATTATAAATTTAAAAAGTGTTCACATGGTAACAGTGAGCATTCTGTTGATGAGCTGGTTGCATTCTTCACTGAAGGTAGTAGACTAAGTGGGGGCTGCTGAGTACAGGTCCAGGGAACCTGCACTGCAGTGTGAGCAGTACTATGTAGTGGCCCTCTAAAAGGGCCTAAAGTTGGCTAGACAGAAGAGAACAAACAAGTTTTGCTTTTAAATGAATTACTATAAATGTAGAGGAAATCCAGAATGTTTTTTAAAATGTGTCAGTCCTTTGGTGTCTGGGATGACTAGGTTCAAGATTGTCTACAAAGAGCAAAGCCCACAGCTGATCAAGGCCCTTAAAACAGTAAAGTTTAGCATTTGTGAAGAACCTACTTATGTCTTCCCATATGCTACAGTCAGTCATCTCTAGTTTACCAACATACCTAAGACAAATGACCAGGGGGAAAGTATGCATGTTCAATAAAGATGCAAATATTTCCACTTTGAAATTAGTTGAATCCAAGGATGTGCAACCCATGAATACTAGAGGTGACTGTATAAATCTGTGTAAAACTCAAGTCTGTGAGCATTAGAAATGTCGTGAAATTTTGTAACCTTTCCAGCTTTTCCTATTGTTTACTTTAAAACAGGAAAGAGTAGATTCTCTTGCACTTTTTGTGTCTCAGTCTTTATTAAAAAATCATAATGATAATGCAATAAAGATTCCTTTTTGACAGTTTTTACATAATTATACTATTGATGAGCCTGTTAACATGCATCTTAATGCAGACTACTAATTCCTTAGCAATATTCCATTAGATCCTTTGAGTTAGAAAGTATCTTTAAGAACAAATTACCATGAAAAACCAGACATGATAATGAAATTCTGAGATCCCCACAATCTAACCTTTGAGAAAAGGACACCTTATCTTTTCCTAAAATGATAGTCCAACCTGAAATCAAAGGGTATTGATTATTCATATTAAGGTAGAAAATAGAATGGAGGTAGGTAGTATTTCCTTTAAATGTATGTGTATACACAACAGGCTTCCTCTGGAGCTCAATGGCAGATCACATTCTTGGCATGCATGACGCCCTGGGTTCAGGTTCCAGGATTACAAATAAAAAATTATATAATACACATACACTAAATATTTAACCTTCTGTAGACCAAGTAACTGTTCAGCAGGCACTTAAAGAGTTTGAATTGTTGTAAAGAACAGTATTTCAAATCAGCTTATTAAATCATAATATCTAGAATAGTGCTGAGACTGTGGTTTTTTTGAGCATGATTTAGTGTTCTGAATTTGGACTCGCTGAGCTAGACTTCATTCTCCTCTGGGCTTTAGGATATAGTGAACAAACATATCTGAGACTTGAATTATTCAGTGTGATCATTATAGACTGACTGCATAAACAAAGCCTTAGGTTAGGATAGAACCAGCCAAGTGGAATGCAGTTTCATTTTCCTATTTCCCCTTTACTTTGGAAGCCACTAACATCTATCATTGATGCTTTCAGCAGCAGCTCTGGAAAATTGTATTAAATTTTATGAATCTCAAGTGAGAGGAGTTTAAAGAGCATGTCAGTCTAGTGTAAGGTTCATAAATCTTGAACTGTTATCAGCAAGTGAGCTCCAGAGTTTAGATTGTGGTCGTAGTACAGTGGTTGATTAATGAAGTCCGTGCAGTTCATTTTGCCTTGGATTCAAGGGGTATCCTTTTCTTAGCTTCAAGTTCATAGAATAGAAACTTAGAGAATGACGGCTGTGTTCATAGCTGCATCATTTCTTTCTTGTTTGCCTTAAAGAAGTGACGGCTCCTAAAAATAAATATAGCTGTAGAATTTAGATCAATTTTGATGATAGTAAAAATAGGCAGCATCCTTTCTAATTCATATGCCACTAAAAGAATCCAGAACTGTAGCATCTTGGGATGAAGAGTTTAGAAAGACTAAGCTCTCAGGTGACCTAGAGAGGGTACCTAACAAGTACTCACACAGCCTGCTCTAGGACACACTCCTAATCATACAACCCAAGTAGCCCATCCATTCCATCTTTGAGCAGATTAATTAATTAATGCATAGAATATTCTGGGAATTTACCATGAAGGTAAGAAATGTACAGTAGATCCATGTTATTGAAGAATGTTTAATCAAGATGGGTATTCACTATGCCTTGCTTTCTCGTATACTTTTATACTCCATGCATCTGGTCCATGAATAAAGATACCTTCCTGTGTGAAGGAGAGGCAGTGTGTTTCAGGTTTAAAATAGAGGGGTAAGCATTTTAAGGTAGGCAGCTTGATCTCTGCCAAGCTGTTCATTTACCCTGACTTGTGAGACACATATGTTGGCTTATACTTCAGTTACTTTTGATGTAAAATTAAGATATCATCGACACGCCATTCCTAATGAAGCAAATTAACATGTGCACAGCGTTCCATATTAGCCAGTTAATAATTGAACAAATGCATTAAATTCCTAGGTTTAAAAAAATATAACTTTTGTGCCTTATTATATATATTCATGATGGAAAGTGAGCAAACACTGTTATAAAGAAAGTATTATTTATAACCTATCTCCCCAGAAATAATCGTCTTCAATTTCTGAGTTATATCCTTCTAGTGCATGAAAACATATAGGTAGTGAGTACAGTGTAGATGCACATTGTGTGATGAAAAAATACAGTGATAGTTTTAAAATTTATTATGGCAAAAAGATGCATTGCTATTTATCCCCCTCACTTTATACATACCTATCCCTTCTTTCTTGCCACTTTTTGAAGCAGTTCTGAAAGTCCTCTTTCATGAATATCTTTAATTATGCTGTTGCAATAGCCTTGATGTCCTAAGTTGATGTCAAAAACTTTTACCTTTCATGGTCATTTTCACTTTGGGGAAGCACCAGAAGTCTCATGGTGCTAGATCTGGTGAATAAGTTGAATGAGGACACAGCGTAATACTTCTATTTGACAGAAATTGCCATAAATGTGAACTGTAAGCTGCTTCAGAAAGTGACAATAATGGTGGGATAAGTCGAAACTGGAGTTTTTTGAAGGGGCTTGATGCCAATGTAACTTTTACTATAATAAATTTATTTAATTTAAACAGTCACTGTATTTTTTATACCAGTAATATAAACATTGATTTAGTCATTTAATACCATTTAGACATACCTGTCACCCTGAAAGACATTTTTATATCTAGCAATAAGAAGAAAATGATGGCAGTTATTAGTGTCAAAAGGAAGATCTTGATTTCTTTTTTAAGTTCCAAACTAATTATATTTTGGCGCTGAACAGAACAGTCTTCCATTTTTCACATGATTTAAACAAACAGAATCTAACTGATGAGTTAAAGTGCTTTCATGAAGAGATAGAATATTGGTAAGGTGGTTGGCATATTTGGTAATAATATTCATTGTGCTATAATTTTTTTCATGTCTGTTGGATTATCAGGTGGAAAATGGTTGGTTTCTGATAACTTCCTGAATATCACCAATGTAGCCTTTGATGACCGTGGGCTCTATACGTGTTTTGTCATGTCTCCAATTAACGCCTCCTACTCGGTTACTCTACGCGTTATTTTCACCTCAGGAGACATGAGTGTCTACTACATGATTGTTTGCCTGATTGCCTTTACCATCACTCTCATCCTGAATGTTACACGGTTGTGTATGATGAGCAGCCATCTTCGCAAGACAGAGAAGGCTATCAATGAGTTCTTCAGAACTGAAGGGGCTGAGAAACTTCAGAAGGCCTTTGAGATTGCAAAACGCATCCCCATCATCACCTCAGCCAAGACTCTGGAGCTTGCTAAAGTCACTCAATTTAAGACCATGGAGTTTGCTCGCTACATTGAAGAACTGGCAAGAAGTGTTCCTCTTCCACCCCTTATTCTAAACTGTCGGGCCTTTGTGGAGGAGATGTTTGAGGCTGTGCGAGTGAACGACCCTGATGACATGGGTGAAAGAATTAAAGACAGACCTGCCTTGGATGCTCAAGGTGGCATCTACGTCATCCACCCAGAGATGGGGCGGAGTAGTTCACCAGGAGGAGATTCAGATGATGGGTCTCTCAATGAACAAGGCCAAGAGATAGCAGTTCAGGTTTCTGTCCACCTTCAGTCAGAGACCAAAAGTATTGATACAGATTCTCAAGATAGCAGTCACTTCAGCCCACTTGATGATACAGGATCTGCGGGATCCAGCTCTAACTGCAAAGATGGAGTTTGTGAAAACTGCCAGCTCTGAGCTGTCCTGGCCCCTGCAAAAACAGTTCTCAGGAAAAAGAACATGTTTTGTGGAGGTGAGAACATTTTTACCAAAAGATGACTGGAGATTTTCCCTTTGATGTTAAGCACATTGGAACATGAGTTGCCAAACTCTGTGAAAATGCAGCCATTTCTCCATTAGTTGCCAGTCCTTTTCCTTAAAGTTAACTACATGACACATGTTAAGATGTAAAGGAGCCTAAGAGATAAACATGATGAGGAAAATATTGTACTAAGAGTTCTGTGGCTTCTCTTCTGGTCACAGTTCTTCCAATGATCAAATGTGATGCTTATTTGGAAGCCTTAGTTTTCCCATCAGTAAAATAAGAGATTTGCCTTTGATGAAATCTAAAGTTTCTAATCCTATAACTTCCTATCTGGTACCCTTACACCATGAAAATCTGTAGCATATCTCTAGCTAAACCTTGCCCTAGACACATAGTCTCTTCTTTTTGGAAAAGACCAACTGAGACTTTATCCTGTGGTCTGGATTCCTATACCAGTGCTATAGTCCCTAGAAGTATGAATTCTTTTCAGATGTCCCTTCATGTGGATTGTACAGTTGTATGTGCTAGATTGAACCTTCTCAGTGTAGCACACAATTACTGTGTTGTTACACAGATGTCAGGGCACTGACTTCTCATTAGTAAACTGCTTTCCAAGAGTAAATTGATCCTTCTTGGAAGACTCAGTTCACAGAAGCTAGTAGTCGTTTCCCAACTGACCTCCAAAAGTAAACAGTCTGTTCCTAAGGAGTAGTATCTTCAAGGCTTCTAGAATAAGAGCAACGTCAAATTGTCTGTCTCTGGTAAATGATGGATGTTGCTATTTCTGTTAAGAATTTCTCAGGCTCCCTCTTTTTAAAAGTATTAGACTCTACAAGTGGAATATGTGTCTCAGATCTCATTCTAGGATAAAACTAAGAACTGTGTATTCCACTTTAGACATTGGTCAATATCCTTTCACTCTGATCTTAAATATGGTGCTAAAGGTTGCATGTCTCTTTATCTTGCTTGTTTTGGTATTTTATTTGTTATGTTTTTATTTGTGGGTACTTCAGATGTGTAGTTTTGAGTTAGGGCTGCTTTTGTGTCCTGAGAAATAACTATGTGAAATAAGATTAGATGATTGTGTTTGGTATGTTACTGCGTTAAAATATACACAGAGACACTCTACACCTAAAATGGGAGGAAAATGATGGATGATGCCACCTGGTTTGACTGTGTATAATAAACACTTAGGATGCCATTTCTTGCCTGGCTAAGATCTGATATAATGGTATTGTAAATACTCTTCAGAATAATTTCTTCAGCTACAGGAAGCTTGGTGCCATATAATTTTAAGAACTTGGCAGTGGAACTGCATTTGATGCTTCACGTTGCTTCATTTGGCTTCTGGTTATTGAGGCATTACTTGAACTAGAGGATCCTGAGGGAAATGTTCAGAGAAGGTTTTATCAGGATTTTAATTTAAGGTTTCAAACAGAAAAAGATAGGAAATTCAAAGTGACTAGTAGAACCCATGTCTCCCTCTGTCCAGGCTTATCAGAAGTAATACGTCTGTTCTAGACAGTATGAATGAATCAATATGCAGCTTTTTCAGATGGCTTCATGGATAAAGATGATAATGCTGCCTTTTCTGTCTCTCAGGCTGTTTCTATGGAAACCTCCAGGGCCAAACAAAAGCTACCAATCATTTAGCCAAAGCTTGCCTTGGCTTATAGACATGTATTTCTTCAAGGAAAATTGTTTTCATACATTTGGCTATGAGAGCAAGGGCTCTTGAACATATCCTAGGTTATAGAATATTTTCTTTTGCAGCAGTGTTTCAATGGAAAAATTTAAAAATTTCAAATCCCTTGTGAGGGATTGGTCTCCTGAATATCTTTCAGGTCCTCAGATAGAACTCCAGTCCTGTCCTCACAGAGTAGGCTTAGAATCATTTCTTGGAATGTAATGTGCTATATTAAAGATCATCGTTTTACCCAACATGTTCTCAAAAGGGATGTTAGTGTTTAGAAATCTTAGGTAGACTTAAAGATCAAAGTCCTAAGAAACAGAACTTTGGAAAAACGTAGAAGTACTGAAAAAAAAAAAATTATAAGCACATATAATATGATTAAAATAGAGGCTGGCAGTGTATCCTAGATAAATTATTTTAGAAACCTAATGGTGACCTAATTGGTAGCCAGAGTAACTGGTTTAATTTGAATCTTCCTGGTTATGGTGCTATAAAGTAGGACAAAATTTAATAGTTGTTGGCAGGTGAGATGACCTGTGCCTATAAGCACTCATATAATTCCAGTACTTGGGAGGCTGAGACAGGAAGATGAGTTCAAGGCCAGCCGGGGCTGTCTAGTAAGTGAGACCCTGTGTCAAAAAATAAACAAAAAATTAATAGTTGGCACCACTTTGTAAAGATAGTTTTCAAGATGCATAAAACCACACATTAGTGTTTTTATATCTAATAAAATCTCTATAATTAGTGGTCTCATCTTTTTATATAAATTGCTTAACCTTTGGTACTTCAGCTACAGTCTGAAAGTCTTGACAATAAGTGGTATAATTATCTTTTTGTCTCTCCAGATTCTAGTTGGTAAAAAAAAAAAGCCTTCATCTAACAAAATGTACTTAAAATCCTATTGTCATTTCATTTGTAAATTTTGTACTGTCATTTAATGAACCTTATTGTCCTTTTGAAATGTAGTGAAATAAATTTCCAAAAATTGATAGACATCTTTATAGATTCCTTACCTGCCTGAACCAGATAGACAGGTGTCCTCTGAGTGGATATCTCACCTGTGTCTACAGGTACCTTATCATCACCTGTCCTCAGAGTTCAGTATGTTATGATGACTTGTTTCTTGCGTCGGGTCCGGTGAGCATTTGCACATCCTGCCTACTACCTTAATACAAATTTCTTCAAAGTTGCCAACCCAGAATGATGGTAAGAAGGCTCCAGGCTGCCACTTTGCCTCGCTTAACAAGTCTGTTCGAAGTCACACCACTGTCTGCATGCTGCTTTCTCTTCAGTCCCCAGCCACAGAGGACCCCAGGTGCTAGTCCTCTTACATCCTGCAAGTAGCTTCACCCTGTATCAAATTTCTGTGGATCCCGGAGTAGCCCAGGAGTGCCGCATGCCTTCACCCAGCCCAGCTAACCATGGGTGCTAGTCTTGTCTCACACCAGCATTGTAACCAAAGTGTGCTGCATTTCCTGAGTCACCAGTAAGAGAACACAGTCTTTGCTCATCCAAGCAAGAACATTAAAATGCAGAGCTTTATGCGAAAACTCCTAGGTTCTCATCAACGTAGTTTTGTTGAGTATTATTTGATACTGTTTACATGATGTTTAAGTGGGCAGCATTTTAATATTTGAATTGTGTCTTTTTTTAGAAAAACATACTTGAATGTAATTTGTTACAGGATCCATGGAGTACATATCATTTGTCTGCAATCTTTTAAAGGGTTTTCATTTATGCAATGAGATTGGACATTAATGATTTTTAAACAGGAATAAATTGTATTCAACCTGGGCTTCCACCATGGCTATCCACTTCAGCATTATGCATACTCACCTAGCATCTGTCTGTTTTTGCTGCTATGGGCTACACTGAGATGATCAGCCGCCCTACACAAGCCTGCACTAATAGACTGTGCTCCTTGGGCCAAAGCACAATTTCCACTTGTGAGGTAAAGCATTCCTGGCAAAGACCTAGAGATAAGAGGATTTAGTAGGTGTTTAGGGGAGCCTGTAATTAGTGTATACAGTTTATGATCTTTGGCAACTGGGAAAGGAAGATGTGATAGAAGCAAATGAAGCGCACAGTCTCATAAGCGTGGAAAGTGGTGACAGGAGGTCAGCATAGAAAAGCACAGGAGCTGAAGATGACAAAGGGACCAGGTGGAGGTGTGATTTGTTACAGAACCACCAAAGGGCACTGCCTCCCAGGGAAAGTCCTGCCACTGTCTTTAAGTTGCAAAAGATTGTTGGACTTAGAGTCCTGATTCCACTACAAGCCTTATAATCATGGACCTGTGACTCAGCTCCTTAGAGCTTCTGGAAGTGGAGTTGATAATACCTAGCTCAGAAAACCAGTAGGAGGATTAGGCATGAAGAAAACACTGCTGGTTGTAGTGTGCCACGCAACGTAAGGGGCTCATAATGCAGCCAGAGTGTCAGCTGTGTTAACAGCCATGTGCCCACATGGTGATCGGCTACATTTGTAGTTGACTAAAATGTCCTACACACCTCTCAGAATTGCATTGCTCTGTATGCAGTAGGATCATGATGGCTTACCCAGTGTCTTAGTTACTTTTTTCATTGCTGAGACAAAGCACCCAAAGGTAAAGGGGAAAAAGGTTATTTATCTCAGTTTGTAGAGGTTTTAGTCCATGATCAGCTGGCACCAAGGCAGCGTGGCACGTGACAGAGGGCCACCACAGAGAACCGCTCATGACACCCACAAGATAGCAAAAGCAACAAAGACTTTTATTTTTTTTTTTTTTTAAGGTTTTACAGTTTATTAAATCCTCTCATGAACAAAGTCACAGTCACTGCAGACACGCACTGCAGAATCTACTCCTTCGGCTTTTTGCCAGCACCTACGTTAACCTTTGCGGTGCCCCTGACTTCATTCTGTTCTTGTGTTCCTTCCGCTGCTTTCTTGAGGTCTTTTTCTTCTCATACAGGCCGTGTCTTGCAAGTCTGTGTTTGGGCTCATTTTTCTTCACATAATCCAGGGAGTCATAAATCATGCCAAAGCCAGTCGTCTTGCCACCACCAAAATGGGTTCTGAATCCAAACACAAAAATGACATCTGGTGTGGTCTTGTACATCTTGGCAAGTTTTTCCCGAATTTCTGTCTTAGGTACTGTTGCTTTCCCAGGGTGAAGGACATCAATGACCATTTGTTTCCTTTGAAGAAGCTGGTTGGTCATGAATTTCCGGGTTCGGATAGTTACTGTGTCATTCATGATGGCAACGGAGCCTCAGACAGCCCGGGAGGAAAAGAGAAACGCTCCGCTCCGGCCAATCATATCAACGCGCATCAACAAAGACTTTTAACAGCATCTTTCTCCCCCTTTTATACTCTGTCTAGGATACTTGGGCTAGGATGGTGCAAAATCCTTCAGTGGACCAGTTTAGTAATCACACACCCTTAGTCCCAGTGTTGCATCATGAATTCATCACACACCACGCTCTAGATGCAGCCACCTCTGAAAAAGTTCCATCTATGATCATGTGAGGCATTGTGGGGGCATCTAAGCACAAGCCATAACACCCAAATAAGAGATTTATTCTCTCAACCATGAATTGCAAAGACAGGCAGGCAGTCCAAGACTGATGTAGAGCCTCAAGGGCTTGGCTCCTAAATTTCTCTCCTCATACATGGCTTCCATACTTAGAGTTCGTTTGTTAGGTTGACTTCTAGAAAAGTTTCTAACGCAAGCGTATATATACATGTTCCCATAATTTATATCAGAGGTAATCCCAGAAATGTAGGAAAGTGGGGAAGTGAGATAGGAAAAAGAAGGCCAAGGTAAGATACATTAATGAATCAGGAACAGGTGCCAAATCCTACTGGAGATCTTTTTTGCTCCAAAATTATCTCATCTAAAGGGCAAGTAGCTGACACACTTGCCCTTCCACTCTCATCTGTTATTAAGGGCTCTTCCAAAGATTACTAATTCCTGGCACTTCTGCTCTGCCTGGTAGAGAGTAAGCATAATCATGTAGCTAATGAAAATCCTCAGGTAGAGGGTCACAGGAATTTGTCATAGGAAGCTGGTGGTAAATGTAGAAATGGTGAATGTTAGGAGTCATGGAGTCACGGGCAGAGTGACAGGACCTGCTACACAGTACAGTTCTTTTGTATCTAGCAGTGTGTCTACATTCCAGGCAGGGAAAAGAGTAGAAAGTCAAAGGACAAAAGACTAATAATACCTGATGCTGTACTTTTTTTTTTTTTTTTTATCAAGAAAGCAATAGTTCACCAAAAGCCTCACCCAACATCTATTACTCAGCACCCAGAGCTGGGTCCCATGGCCACTTGTTCCTGCTGTGGGAAAGCCTGTGGAGATGAGTTTTTGTATTTTTGGGCAGATGCATTATCCCAAAGATTGAGTTTAGTTATCAAGGAGAAAGGATGGAAGCTGTAGACAGTAGGTCATGTTCAGCAAGATCATCTCCATGAATCAGGAACAAAAGATGGTACTATGGTGGATCCAATTGCAAACCATGTTCCTTGAAGGCAGTTGTGTACATGGACAAAGCAGTAATCAAAGGCAGTAAATCTTCAAGCCATCACTTTGCATTCCAATATATGTGACTTAAAGAGCAGATAAGCACATCATGGGATTCAGCTTATCTTGACCTAATTGTTCTCTAACAGATATTTACTGACCCCCCTGCCCTATGCTAACTAACTACTCTGATATAAGTGAGAGACTCAATGGTGAGAATGACATAGGGCGTGTCTTTAATTTGGAATCAGAAAATCCTCTCTAAAGAGGGCATTGCTGAGACCCAGATGAACCAGAGAAGGGAGGAGGAGGATGTGCACTCCAGGCAAAAGGACAAGCAGTGGCAAGGTTGGCCTATGGGAAACAAAGGAGAAACAGAAGAAACGGTCCTGCGTGGAGGGAGGAGGGAGACAGAAGCATGCGGGGGCCAGGAACATGGGCAGCGCTCTGGCTGATCTAGGAAGTGCATTTCTCAGAAGAAAAGCTGAATGCACCTAATTTGGAAAAGGGGATTAACATATGTAAGGGGGAAAATTTGATCATTCAATAGTACTCTTCGTTTTGTTTTCTGAAATCCTCTGCAGCTAAAAAGCAAAGGTAGTGATTTTCCTTAAAGAATTAAACACTTTCAGAGCCCCTTAAATCCCTGTCATGTTCTCAGGTTTTCATGGTTTCTGCTGGAACTCATAGGAACTATGGATACATAAATACACATGTCACTCCGTCTGCCTAGAGGATCTTTGTTTTGCTGCTGTCTTATGCTTCGTAGCAAGCATTTGGGAACACTGCTTGCCTCTGCTCTGTGGAAGGGAGGACTCAGGTGTCCTAAGTGACAATAAATCAGCCCCCAAGAAGCCCCCTTTGGATTGAAGAGCCACCCTGAGGGGCAGGAAGCTAAAGGGAATTGTCTCTGAAGGAGCTCCCTCTGTGGTGTCATTTCATGGTGTGAGTTTCATTGTTGGAGAAACTGCAGACAGACGGTTCCTAGGCAACTTCACTCACAGCCTCATCCCCTCAATAGCTCAGGCCAGCAGTGGCACCTTATAGAGCTCTCAGTGATAACCCAGGCCATAGGCTGCCACTACTGCAGGCCATTGCTATTCCTGTGTGAATTTCAACAAATGTACAAATCTAAGGACACTGCTGTGTGTAAAACCAGAGATGTGCTCTGCTATTTGGTTACCTGCCATATAGGAAGACAGATCCAATATATGTCCTCCGGGTTGTCTTGGTCACTTTCCTCCTCACTGGGACAAAATACCTGACACCTGCAACTCAGGTTTATTTTGGGTCCCAATGTTCAGTCCATAGTCAGCTGGCTCCATTGCAGAAAAGGCATGGCAAAGGGGCATGGCTGATGGAGATCTCACCTCAGAAAAAGAAGGGGTGGGCCCAGAAGGCAGAAGGTCCCTTCCTCGGTCATGGCCCCAGCGACCAGTTTTTAATCAGGCCTCACCTCCAGGCAGCAAGGCAGCAGGGAGCTCA